ACATTGTGACACTGACAGCTGAGTGGACGACTCCCTGTGCCGGTTCAGGCCTAGTGTACCAGATATAGGCCTAGACTCAATCGCACGTGAGGGATTTGAATTCCTATTTCACTAATCTGACGGGTTCCAGAGTAAGAGGGGGGCATGTTTGCAATGTTACTGGATCAGATATTACTTGTGGTTGTTAGCTTAAGAATTGACTCTTGTAATTCGAAAATTATGCAGTGATATCCATAAATAAAGTGTTGATGTGGATGTACATCAGTTGTATGCCACGCACTTAATTGATAACATATTTCTTTTTTGCTGTAGATTCTTCCTTGATCTTTACAGCATTATCTTCATCTGCATGCATTCTATTCCTTACTTGGAAATTTCTCACATTTAAGTGACGGTCAGCACCTTCTAACGACAATGTTTACCTTGGGTCACACTCACTTGCAGGGTAAAACCAGAAAATACGCACAGTGACTTTACGCAGCACTGAAAGTTTTATGCAAGACATGACAAAGGTGATCAAGTTCAGCTCAAAGGCGTGAGTCCCCAGAAGAGGCACGTGCGCATTCCTGGGGAAGCGGTTTTACCTACAAACCAAATAAACAAATAGGGTATGTGCGTCAATCAAAAAAGTGGACGAGACCATGTGAAGCTGGGGCAACTGAGCTATACGAGATATTCTGATAGCAAATTTCGTACGTATCGGAACTTTGCGCGGACATAATTATGGGCCTCCTGCCCTGGTTAATCGTGGTGGAGTAGCAACATCGGCCGGCATCATCACTATGAAATGGTTCAAGATCCAGCACGGACGTGCAAGACAGAGCCTACAATTGGTTTATGGGCAAGTCCAGAATATGTGTATGCTTAACTCTTTTACAGAATATTCAGTACACCAAAGTCTGTGTATACAAATCAAATTTAAAGATATGAATTACGCGTTACCAACTTGCAGCTGCCCTTGGATGTCCGAGGAGATGTCAAGGAACAACGGAGTTGTTTCCACTAAGAGTTAAACTTCGAGTATTATTTTCTTCAAGGTGTACATAATGGGCAATTTAGAAAATGCTCTAGAGTTCCCCATCTGAATAATTGGTACATTCAAGCGTAAACATTTCACAGTTAAAGCGCTGCACGAAAAAAATGATGAAGTCCGAGCAGATAAAAAAGAGACTGTCCAGCCGGAGTTGTGAGGTCAAGTTTAGTATGATTGATTTACAAGATATGGGATAGGAACTTCCAAAATTATTTTGATGACCGCTTTGCTTGATAAACATTTGGAAAAGTTTGGTAATGAAAGCTCAGAGAAAAATTGTGAGCGACGATGTCCACGGCGGAGGAAGTGGACGGATCTGGCCTGAACTCGCATGAACTGGGGCCAGCGAAGTTTGTTTGTTGTGTGGGTATGGAATTCGAAAAATGTGAGAAAGAAATCACTAAATATAGTTGACCATCAATCACTGTGTTTATATAGGGTGATTCGGACACCAGAATTAAAAGCCATAACTGCAGTGCCAAAACGCGAGTGGACAAGGTGGTACGCGCGCGTTAAATGCTTTTTGACCAATATAGTGCTGTGAATGCCCAATGCACGCACCCGTTAAACTTACAGACGCGTGAGTGAAGTGCCATTAGTCTTTCAGCACGTGATAGTTATTTAATTGCTTTGCCTGGGTGTGCATTTACGAACAATACAGTATAAGAAGGTAGAGAGTTCGGCAATGCGACTACGAGAGCACCCGTTTAAACTTCCCCTTAAACGTCCCCTCCCTGAAATTTATCTTTTCGCTGTCCTATCCAAATCATAATCCCAAGGTAATCAATACGTACTGCGCCTCTAAAGTAAAATCTCGAACGGGAATAATTTACGTAGAAAAATTTCTTACCTGATTCTCATAGAGTTTCCAGAATCTTGAGGATCAACATATTTCTCTTGTTCTTCTCTGCATGTGGAAAATTTAGTTCCTACAACAAAAACCAAAGGTGCCACTTAGTTACAGGGCTATGAGAAATGTCAGCCATGAACAGTATTTTCCTGGGGCGGTTATAGGCCATCCAACATTTTCCAGGTTAAGTTTAACGTCGAAGGAGGATAATTGCGATGCAGTCCGTATCATTGAAGCCTCAGTCAGAATCTTGAGTTCATTCCAAATGGTAGTCCTTAAGAACTTGAACACAGACTTGCCTGAAGATACGCAACCTTGAAGTCTCTACCGTCAAGTAAACAACCATATTACAACAGGCACGTCCATTTTCTGTCTCCTCTCAATCTGCGTATATTGACGAGACTTGGAGTTAGCCTACTTCATCATCATGCCTCATTAAATCCCGAGGCACAGAAATCGATGCTGTTTCAAAGGAGCAAATTCTCTGAATTTCTTTCCCCAACAATCACATCATTTGAGGCAGTACTCCGTTCGCACACAGGAATAGACCACATGTATGTCATACTATGGTCAGACACCCATCACTAAGTTACGTTCCGAAGTTTTAGAGCGCACGCGGCGCCCCCGCGATAACTCAGTAATGCAACAGTGGTCATGCCGACAGCAAATGCACAAATCGTTTTCCAGACATACCCTGACGGTGAAACACTATCGAATATCAGAAGCTTTTTTCTTTTCCCTTTCCATTCGCGACAATAACCTATTGATGAAAGAGTGAAATGGTAACTGCAGGATACCGGGTGAACCACCGAACAAAAGGTGAACCGTGCACTACACGAGTAGTTTCCATGCACCAATTACAATCGTAGCAGGGAAAAGGTGCGCTAATGGTTTTTAAATCGAGCAGTGTTCTTTATGGCATTGACTAGATATCATAACCAACAAGCCACGGGACTAATCGAAACCGTTCGGCAAAGTGTGCAAAAAACTCCTTCGTGCCACTGTAAACAGTAAAAAATCACAAGGGAAATGGTGCCGAACTGTTGTTGATCTTCTTGAAACTAGGCCCATTCAACTTCACGGCAGTGAATAATTAGCCTAAAGGGAACTCTACCCTGGACGTGACTGATGGTGACGAATGGATCCTCTGAACTGGCAGTTTTGTGTTAGCACTCTATGTCAACGTGGTATGTGCACGGCACATTACGAAGTATACAAGCAAGCACTGCCATGCAATTTTTTCTTACCGCGAACGCCCAGCCCAAGGCCCTCAAAAGAGTGCACCGTGTGCGCCTACATCCTTCTAACGGACAGGCCAATAAATAGCGCCACCGAGCGATGGGCGATTTTCTTTCCAGTCCGAAAATCCGACGAAGAACCTTGAGAGAGTGCAGTCGTTATACGACTTCATATCTACATTGCGGAAAAGCAATGTACGTGGAAAGAGTAACACTTATATTTACAAATAGGTCTTTTGGGAGACATTTTGTGGTAAATTTTCAGCATTAAGGATACATCGGCTTGTAGGGAGACATTTCAGTGTCTCCCTATTTTCAAACTACCAGAGGGAGGCCGAATTTTGTCTCACTGGAAATTTTGAGAGATGATAGATTAGCGTCTAAATTGAAAACATACAAAGTTTGGTTCAGTTCAGACTAGGGAATATTGAATTATGCACGTTCTTATGGGAATGTCGCCCTAATGACTCATTAGCGGTAATATCCAAATCGACTAATGGTTCGTGCCCCTCCCCTTTTACAGAGTTGACACGGTATAACAGTTTTCTTTTTTGTAATTTAAGGACACGGAAACCTCACTTTATAAACTTTCCAGAAGTGTGTCGAGTGAAGTAGGCTGTGCCAGACAGATAGCTAAGGAATTTCACATTAGTGCCGTTTGAGCACATCTTCATCTTCGCCGCGGCTTTCTGTGTTGAACTTCCTCGTGCGCGCCCTCGAAGTCGACACAGTACGTGGAGTATCCCAGTTCGTAAGTATGACGCCACTTCAGTTTAAACCACGCCCACTGCACAAGATACACGACCATCGTAGGTACGTTAGTTCGCGGTCNAATATACCTTTATGCATTTTGTGTCTTGGGTCCTTACTTTCAACCGTCTGATCGTATTAAGAATTGAAGCCAACACATACAGCCTCGTTTTCAAACATGGAAGTGCGCAGATCGACGCTAAAAGCGTCGAATTGGGATCACTCCATTCGAGCTTTACAACGACACACCACTGGCCAAAAGAAAAGGGGGTAGAGGAGGTGACGTCACAAATGATGACGTTATTGCCTCAGTCATTTTTGCACAACGCATGTGTACAGTTTGTAGTGTAATAGTCGCTGTGAAGCTTAATAATCTACTGCTGAGGCAATGGCACATCAAGGTTTTGGGTGGAGTGCAATATGGGAATGTTTTACCTAAAATGATCGTCCAATTTTCCTTCGTAAAATAATCCTTACAGGAGGGTGGTGATGCCGTTTCTTTAGTGCTGCCGCTTTTGCTTTCTAAAAATAGCAATATACCTCCGAGGGGAAACAACTTCCCCGCTCCTCCCCATCTTGACACGCCCTTTAGTTGTATTTAGGATATGAACAGACGGGTTTGTACCTATTGCGTTTGCATAGATTTGTAATGCTCTTTCATTGCTGTCACACCACTAAAATGTCTCCTATTTGCCTCTGAATCATAAGCGACAACCCAAACCCTGTAATCAGTCACAGACTACCTGTACATTTTATTTAACCTTCAACATCAGTCGACTGTTACAAAGCCACCTGCAAACGCAATGTCTCGCCGCGTCGTCTGGGAGAATTTCTCCCAAATGCGTTTAGTAAATAAATTATCGGAAATATGCCCTTGAACTATAATGTTGGAAATTTATTTACATGACTGCATTGTTGATCATTTCCAAGATGAACAATGACTGATAACAATGGGTTCCAAATTGCCAAGCGGATGAGACAAATAGGCCTATAAATATTTAAAGTTATTCGCAAGTACAGCGTTTCCTTCGACCAATTTTCCCGGGAAGTAATGTAAACAGGAAGATACAAGCAAGACTGTAAAAGCACGATTCTTTCGCTGGGAAAGGATCGATCATACTTTACTGCAGGTCTTGCTGATTTTATTCGAAAAACTGTTGTGAACCAGCTTAGTATTTTCATTTGCAAAGCCTTCTGGGAAATACATATGAATTCAAATGCATTTCACACTCTCAGGGTACTAAGGTTCGAAAACTAGCGTAAACAGTTAAAGCCAAGTTACTTACCGACTCATTCCGTGCAACCCAATGCCGCAAATTGAAACATTTCAAACAGGAGTCATCATGGAGATTCGTATATCATAAGGGATTCCTTTCAAAGAAACTGTTTTCTGCTCATATCTCACACGTCCACATGTGCCTCGTCCTAGTTGTGTTTGTTGTCCTCGCAGACAGGCACGCGATCCCTCCCGGAGGTACGGTACGTAGGCGCAATTATAAATGCTTAACACACTCTTACGTAATGAGAAAGTTATACTCAACGAACCTGCCAAATAATCTTTCTTTGTATTATCTGCCTTCCTGGTTGAGGAGGCCGAAGCGACTTTAAAACCTCCTTCAAGTAGGTAATCTAATAGTCGGTAATCTCTGTAACTGAATAGTGCGAACGGCAACCCTGCCTTGCTATGGATCTTTCCCGGGAAGAAAAGTCAACCAGACGGAGGACTGATGATTCTGACAGATTCACCTTGGGGGAACTTGCAAAACACAGATCCCATCACCTTCGTCTTCCATCCTGAGATCAATCGCAAAGCAGTTGTTAATTGATTGGATAAATCCATTTTGACTGGACTGACAAGAGAGTATCTCCCCACAACCAGCAATCCAGCAACTGTCTTTTTTTCCTTACCAAAGTATGCTAAATGCCTGAGTGAAGTGTCTCTATTGTGATGAAAAGAACAACAGAAAATACTTGAGAACGGGGCAGGATGCTGAAGGAATGTTGGGCTGCATTGAAGGGAGAGGTGGCTACATTCTTTCCCTTCACAAAAAGCCCGGGGCTCAGGTAGAGGATTCCCAAATTAGAACGCAGTTAGCACCGCGAAATAGGCCGCTTGCCAAGGAGTAGAGAATTACATTGTGAAGCCCTTGGGGTTTTGAGCACATTTCTTTCATTAGAACCCTAAAAAGAAGAAAAAAAAGACCAAAAACAAAACCGAAAAAAAAACCGAAGTGAAACCGTTCGATACTGTTCTGTCTGATTGAAGATGGGACTTATTAGCACCTGTCAGTACGGATTATCAGTACAGAGTACAGACCTATCTGCGTACCCCAGTCACAAAGTAATCTTTGCCTGTGCATGCATTGTTGTCGACCACTTCTCAGAATTAACGTGGGAGGGGGACTTGGGTCGGCATAGAACAACACTCCTGAGGTTTCCTGATCCTGGTATATCCAGCAAGAAATTACACCGAGGGGTACCCCCCAACATGTCCAATCGCTACACACACTCTAGACTATTGTTACCTAACATATCCCCCTAGATGTCTGAAAAGAATTCCTCAGGTTCCAGTGAGACAATGACCAACACAAAACAGGGGAGTTCTCTCCGTCTCATGTCTCGCTTCATACGTATAGTTCCTGGGGTGAAATCAGGTTTACGCATACAAGGGTGCACCCACGTGAGTAGGCCAAAAATTCGTCCAGCGTTGAAGGGTTAATTAATCAATAAAAGTTATGCACTCAAATTATTCTGTATTAAAGAGATCTGAGAGCCATGGATTTGGGGTATAGAAGAAATATGGTACTGAACCTCTGGCCTGGAATTGGGCTTCCATTTCTGAGCAGTTTGGATGCAATCGGGTGCCAAAGTGGCACTACGTTTTTGTGCTTTTTCGAAATGGTTACTTTTCCCAGTTTGGGAAGTATCTTTCTTTATTGGGGTGGTCTGCTTTGAATGCTATTTTCAAAATGTTAAAAGGAAATTGAACGATATGTTCATCATTGTTTTACATGCTGCCTGACCACCTGGTAGAGTTGTATTTTAAAAGAATTTGAAGTTTTGGGATTTATCACTGGGGTGCACCCACAACTGTGGATAAGAGAGGGGCATGCATACTCTACCCAGGTGGGACTCTACCCTAAAAAATCCCCAATTTTGTCCCCCCCACGCACATTTCCCCCTCGCCAAAAATATGGTCCTGTAGACTCACCCCTAGATTGTTTGTAGATTGGGTGTTTCACAAGTTGTATGTATCATCGCGTTCCAGACGGGTCAGTACTCTGGTCGTCGATTGGCATATTGGATTGGCAAGTCAAATCTACTGTTTTGCATTTCATCTTAGCCTGTGCTTGCAATTTTGTCCCCTTGCAATAACTCCAAACCATTGGTGTAGTGGGACAGATGATGTAAGCTGTCGTAAAAACTCATTTTGCTTTGTGCACAGGTGTTTTAAGACACCTCTTGTTATTCCTACCGCGAGAGATATGAGTATAGCGAGTTTTTCCTATGCTTGCTTTCGCACAAATCGGATTCATTAAGACAGATTATGCTCTAATAGCCGTTAGAGGTCACAGAATTTGGAGAGGTTATCTCGCAATGATGAAGGATTAAGGCCAAGTCGGAGCAGCTAAGTCCAGTTTTGCATTTTAACAAAGAAACAGCTAACAAACTGTATTACTTGAAGCCTTGAAAGGACACTTTGCGTGAGTCGACGGCGATTACCCGTGTTGCATTTTATAAGACATCGTTTGGATTTTGTCCATAGTGATAGTACGGTTCATCGAGTTTCTGTCCAGTGTAAGTGTAACGGACTAAAAAAATAGTGCAATAATCTGCCTGTTTTTCGCTATCAGAAACCGAGTATGTTTTAATTTTTTTCTTATGTCGTGTAGTAATTTGTCAAAACCTACAGGTCAGATATTTTTGAAAATAGAACGTCAGAAATTTAGGAAAGTAGAACGGTTGACTTCAGACTCCTAAAGTTAGTGACAATTTTCTTTCGGCAATACATCAATACAGATATTCAGTTCATTGATGTAAACTTTTTTAGGCAGATCAACATTTGTATCTTTGACTTAACACGCCAAATCGTCTTTCTGTGACGACCATACGTATCGATGTACAAATTTTGATTTATCAAAGTTGATCTCTTATCAAAAGGTAAGCAGACACTTTCTATCATAACAAGCATCATGCATGAAGTACAGTTTAGTTTTAAATACACTGTTGCTAGTCAGAGCAGTTTACACAGTGTCACAAAGTATTCACAAATACCTGTTATTTCGATATCATTTCAATTAACCTAACAAAACAAAGCCACCTTGCCTCAAGAGTCAATCTTTCAGGACAAAAGTATATCAATAATCTGTGTCAAACTAATGCCAAGATATCAACAGAAATCTATATGAAGGCTGAGCAAGAAAAAACAACACCAACGATCTTTTATATTAGAAATAATTTGAGGAAAAATTTGTTATGCCCTATCCATCGAAGTTAAGGTTAAATTGTTTAATAATAGAACAATGAACGGAAGAAAAACACTCCTTGTACAATATGTGCATGCAGAGCACTTTTCAAACAACTAGTAGTGAATGTACGGTTGCAACTCATGTACGTGTACACTGCTACTGTACAGGAAACAGTCGTTGATGCGTTACTGGCCAAACCAGGCGTTGATTGAACTACAATTCAGGGAGGGAACTGGCAAGGAAAGATTCCATAGTTATAACGCACGTTTGGACAACCATGTGGATGATTTTAAAAATAATAAAGATAAAGTGCTCAATGTGTCGCATCATAATTCTTTATCAAAACACATTTCCTCAGCAATTAGTAATATACGTGATATAACACAGCTGAAAATCCGGAAATGGTCCCCAAGGTCATTTGCTGACCATCTAAAGGAGCTGAGAGGAATACCTTAGACGCTTATACGAATAGCCTGATGCTTATCACTGACTTTAATACGAAGTAGGCATATCAACTTGCAGGAGCGTCTTTTAACAATTCAAAGAATCTTGTAGTTGACAGGTGCTGCACTCTGCTGACGCAAGGTAGTAGGCCTATATCAAAACGGGCGGACACCAGACAAAATCAGAACTTGAAAATCATTCCTCGTTGGTGATTTCAAAACGCACAAACCAGGTGCACGTGTATTGACTGAGGCCGAAATAAAGAGAATACCGAAATGACTAATCGCTGCCTTTTGTGACGGGGTTCTGGTTTTTGTACATCCATCAGTTTGAGGGGTACAGTACCCAAGGCGAAGCCAAGGGTGCTTTGCCTCTCAGATGTACAAAATCCATAGACCCCGCCATATCCGACTTGAGCAGAAGCACTCCTTATCAGTTGAAAAAAAAGAGCCACGCTGGCAGGTTGTGTTCATTTTGTTGGTAACCCCGCAAACGTATAAGGCGCGCATGTCATAATCGTTCGTGAACCAGCGAATTTGCAGTTTCACGAAATGAGCCTCCGTTGCCAGGGAAATTGCACCCTCTCTTGGTCCCGCTCCTGGTGACACAAATTTTTTCGAATGCAAGGAAAAGAAGTGAAATATATTTAACTCTGTCACAATTGTGGCAATGTATCCCGTGAGACGCATCACTCACGTGCAATAGCCAGAATCGCTCATGTTCTCGCGATTCGGTACGTGTGTTGTGTGGCATATAATGATCATGATCAATTCTAGTACATAAAAAAATGCGGTCTATTACCATGATATAACAAACATTGATATAGCTACAGAATGAGCTGCAAAAGCTTCAGTTCTTTTTCTGTAAACTCGGGGCATCTATTTTCTAAGACTGCAACTCAAAAAAGCAAACAAACAAACAAACAAACAAAATGTGCAACGACTGACCATGTTTTAAAGTGGAAACTGTAACGTCTAGGATTACATGCGTTCGTGAATATGCTATAGTACCACAGTGCCTTTCATTCAATTTTCTTGAAAAGTCATCGATATGAACTCAGCACTGCAACCAGAATATTGAGTACTGTAACCTTAAAATTCACTGAAGTGTCTACGTGTACATCAACACTATCCCAGCCACGCCCTTACAATTGGTGCGCCATATTTTGAATTTCCGCAATTGTGTGGGTCTCCTCAACTGCTATTTCTAGATAGATAGTGCGAAGGGATAGCATGCGAACTTTTTTTGAACAGCGCGTGTACATATCTTTTGACACCATCATCAAGTGGCGGCCTGCCGGTTCAAAAAAAGTGCGCATGCTATGCCTTGGCACTATCCGGCTTCCGTATGTTTCAAAGTCAGCGCTGAGTATATGTGATCTACCCAAAAGGCTTCACAGACGGTCTGCAACATGTGGAACATTACGATTTGCCATTGACGTAGCATAATACTGAGCAGGCGTTCTCAATGTATGACGACCGCGTTATTGCTAGACTGTGCACAAAGACCCGAGGTGTATTGGTGGTTGGGTTTCTGGCACTGCACACCACCTCAGTATCATAACTATCATCAAGCACAGGCTACGTTTCTTTCAGGAATCCTTTGAGAAAGTTGGAAAGGAGAGTACTACTCCAACGGAGGAAGCAGCACAAAAATTAGCTGAAAACCCTCGAAAATAAAGATAATCCGAAGGTGAGTGCAGTCTGTAATGAATGTACACATAGTTTGAAGTCAAATTGATTGATAGGTTGATTTAGCAAATTGGCAAAGTCAAGTCATCTTGAGCATAAATACAGCATGGTTAGCACCAAAAAGTAGCCCCGTCACACCACTGGCATTTGCATTCATTTATTCGTAGAAGGGTAGGGTCGCCTTTACATCATTTTGTACAGTTAACCAGCCGTCATTTATGTTTCGGCCTGAGAGACACAGTCCCTTAAATAAATTACTCCGTTTTCTCTTCCAAGGCCTTTACACTCAAAAGGTAGTTATGTATGGGTTACATTTTCACTTAGGGAGAATGGCCTGCCCCTTCATCGTAATCGTCATGACAGATTTGTAAAACTCGGAATTGATGTTTTCAGTTAAGCTTCGATGTTAACAGCTTGTCACTACAGGAAATAACCACAGTCCATGCACATCCAAAACCAGGATATTAAGGCCGAAATCTTCTTTCCAAATGCAGGAGCAAGACAACTTGAGAGCAGTGTGTTTAATCAAGCATAAAACCAACACAGAAATTCTGTAATGCTGTCCCTTTAATGTTATAGTTAAAGACACCAATGGAGGGTACTGAAGCGGCATCAAATAAAATTTAAAATTCACTCAGTTAGTTGCTATGACAACCAGACAGTTTGCACATTAGCAGCTGGTTCTTGGTCATCCGAGCCGAATAACTGCGCTCCCTTTCAAGCGACGTAAAGAACAACTTGAAATGTATCATCTCTCGCTTCAAGACGAAAAGAAAACGATTTCTATTTTAATAAGGTCTGGAGTAAATGCATAGTTTGCTTGATGATCATGCTCATGCATGTGCGTGACAATTAGGTCCCTGACTGGGCAGAATTAGCTTACACTATTTTCAGGAACCACACTGAAAAGTTATCGACCATTTAACTGACTCGAGTTGAGTCTAGTTTAATAATACCCTTCACTAAGGTAGGGATGAGTGACAACAATGACTGTGTCGAGATATTACTGGGGTCTATAGAATAATAGTCTTTCCTTGTTTCCTTTTGGGTAAACAAAGATTAGTTCTATTACCACAAGATTTCAACATTTCTAACGTGATTTTTTAATGTCCTGTTGACAGTGCAGCTGACAGTTCGCTTTTCAGTTCTGGAACTAATTTTGGCATCATGGGAAGAGGGAATCTACTCATTCTGGCAATATTTAACATTGCTGGAGTAAGTTGTGTGGACCATTGTGGAAAGTTTGGCTTGAGCTACTTTGCAGCTGAAAATCGCGCACTGATCAATAAAATTATCGTTGTAAAAACTGCAAGGTCTATGGTTATCTGCGTGCGTGAATGTGCTATGCTACCACAGTGCTCTTCAGTCAACTTTCACACAGACAGCCGTCGATGTGAACTTGGCACCGGAACCAGAATCCAGAATCCTGAATCTTTCGATGAAATTCATGAAGTTGTCTACATCGACACGATCCCAGACACACCCTTACACTCAGTGAGACATCTCAGCAGTTGCGAGGGTCTCCTCAACTCCGGTTTCAATGTCAGTGGTGAATACAAGATTTACCCAAACGGCTTTTGGAATGGTCTGTTAGTCTACTGTGATATGGAAACTGATGGTGGGGGATGGATCGTCATGCAGAGGCGCCAGGATGGTTCGGTCGACTTCTACCGTAACTGGGTAACCTATCGAGCGGGCTTTGGAAACCTGTCCGGAGAGTTCTGGCTCGGCAACGACATCTTACTGAATCTGACCAAATACACAGGATGGTGGAAACTACGCGTTGAGTTGGAAGACTGGGAGAAAAACACAGCTTGGGCCGAGTTTGGCGAGTTTGGCTTGCAGGGAAACCTGTACAGAGTTAGGATTGGTCGATATGATACTCGGAGCACTCTGCCAGATTCTCTAACATGGCATAACGGGCGTGCATTTTCAACCTATGATAATGACAATGATACCCCCGATTACAGTTGTGCACAGAGGTTTGGGGCAAGTTGGTGGTTTGGTTACTGCACAACAGCATGTCTCAATGGTCGTTACTATCACCAGGCACGCGCTCCTTTTCGGGCTGGAATCCACTGGGAGAGTTGGAAAGGAAAGTATTACTCCATGAAAGGAAGCACCATGAAAATAAAATAACCCGAATCAATAAACCTGAGTGAGCTTTGGAGTTTTGATCTTGGGGTGGGGTGGTTTCGGGCCAAATCTGATCAGCCTGTTCGGTGATCCATGCAAAGGGATTTATGCAGTATGATAAAGATTGCAGTATTCCACATCTGAAATGTTTGTTTCGAGAATGCCCGACGAGAAGAACATTAGTTTCTTTACATACTGAGCAGAAATTCCCCTAGATTAGCATTTTCCTTCTTGTGAAACCTTAGAATATTGTACATTTGTCATTGTAATTAACATCTGTGATTAAACAACCATTACAATGAGTGTTAGTTGGTATCAACAAATGCACTGTAATAATTATGTAAATCTGGTCTGTGGTACTCAAGTCTAAAAACGGAACAGCCCGTGGTTGTGAAGACAAAATATTTAAAAACTTATTTCAAGAATGAAAATTGAGGGAAAAAAACACTGATCGCTGTAATAGTTTCACAAAGACGCTATAGTTCTACAAACCAAAAACTCAACTTACCTGTCACACCTGTGTCAACAAATTAGAAATGAAGAGATTACAAGTTGCATAACTGCACAAACAGGAGAATTATACTTTATTGGTTAAGGAGCTCGTTCTGGTGATTATATGCACATGTTGACTTCTAAAAGAATGATTTCTCACATTGGATCCTGATAGAAACTCACTTTTGAATTGAGAACGACTTCTAGGACAAAAATAAATTAAATTAGCTGGCAAAATAAACACACAGAGAAAAGCCAGAAATAGCAAATATTTTACCAAGTACACATATTTAAAAGCGCACTTTTATTATTATTAAATTATCTTTTTTCTTCTTTACTGTAATTGACATTTCTTTTCCATCTGAAAAAGTCTTAAAGTACATCACTACTAAACAAAAGTCCTAGAGAGGCTGGAATAAAAGAAAGCTCTCACTGAATAGAGTTGTGAACTTAACATTACGTAGACGTCATGCTTGTATGTTTGAAGAAATTATTGTGGCACTGCAAATTGCATCTGCAGTGATTGGATATGCATTTAAAGAAATTACATTCTAATTGCAAAATTGGATATCATGTCATATTAGCATCATCCGTGATGACAATGTAGTTAAATGATTTTGAAAGGAAATTGGCACTTCAAAACTTACAGTTCTTCACAACATAACTTGCAAACAAAAACTAAACTTTAAAAACTTGCGAACGGCCAATACTTGTTCATCAAACATCGTTAAGGCGTTGAAATGTCATTTCATTCATTGTTTCATCATAAAACCACCATTTAATTTTAAACAATACAAGGTCCAGCAACAAAGAAACTTGGTGTTTGGATAAAATTATACAAACTTGGGTCATGACACCATTTTTAATAGATTTTTTCACATACAAGATTTTCAAGTCTGCTCAATTCTAAACCTAACACTATGATATTGGTCCCAAAGTGTCATGATGATGCCATTGTGTGACAAATAGTGCTAACTAACTAAGTCTAATCCATCAATGAAAAATTTAGAGCACTCCCTTAGTGCATTTATGAATCATTCACGCACTTTCCTCCATTACACAAACTCCTCAGTATAAAAATAATATTGTTTGGCAATTTACAAATACGATTTGAAATTCAGTCATTTCCACTTTGTTCATCTCATGCTCTGGTGTGTCAATCATATTCCTGTACAACTCTTCGATAATCCCTTTTCCCCTAAATGTCCACGTATAGTTGTATCACGTTACTGACTGCACATTAATCCACAATTTATGGTTTTAAGTTGTTATATCAGTAGTTGAACAAATATAAATGGGATTTATGAAGGTTAGACTTTATAGCCACTCAAGACTGTTGTAGTTAGCATCGTAGAAACCTCCAATTTAGAATTCAGCGTGCATAGGCTGCGTGCATAACATGTCAGTATTGAATGTCGTTATACTGTACTGTAATCGGTATCCAAATTAGCTGTAACATTACTAAATGGTTCACCTTGGAATTAATTGTAAAAATCTTACAAGATATAAAATTATTACCATGGTTTCGTTCCAACGTTGCTCGGGTGATGATGACTGACGTCTTATCTTTATTTGGAAACATAACAGAAACGATTTTTACGAGATGTTATTCATTGATCATGAAATTAAGCACTATTGCTTGTGTATTCACTGGTAGCGATTTAGTGGGTATTTTAATTCATAGAGAGGTTAAGGTTTGTATGTACATGTACTTACATGTGGGAGTGAAAATGTGGGAGACGTTGCCCATTTCTGCGCAAATACGAGGACTTATGTATGTTTATAGCAGGCACTCATGTATTATGAAGAAATGACTTAGGGGCCTACTGGAAAATTGTTTTTTCTATATGTCCTGATCGCCCTGAATTCTCTTCATCACATCATAAGCTTCAATTTATAAATTAATTGGACGTTTGCCTCAATAGTCACAAAGCTTATACACATGAAACCACCGATAACATCCCACCTTGAATTCCCAATCTTAAATGTAATTCTATGGACTCAGCCTAATCCCTTTTAACTGGTCCCTATGTGGACAAATAATCTCCTGACGAGTAAACTGCCTGTATCATGGGTACATGATTAAATAGCTTAAGCCATGTCATTGCTGATATCAGAATCTCTACACAGATTAAACAAACCGTAAAATGTCGACAATCACGAAGTGCGCCGGCAGCAAATGTTTTCCCTAGCTGAAACATTATAGCAATATTATGCGTAAGATGGCACGTATGGAAATAGTGGTGGACCGGACGTCTTGAATTACCAAAGCTGTACCAGACCACCAGTGAGGGCTCGTTTCAATCAAGTATCTCTGTCTACTGCTTGCTGTATTGTATCACCATCAGCGCGAAAAGCCCAAGTCCCATTCATCATGCACTGGTCAGTTTTAAAATTTCACTCGCAAAATTTAAACCGTTGACGAAACAGAAAGACAAGTCTTATAGGATTTTTGAAAATTGCTATATAAGAACTCTTCATGAGCAATCGGGGTACATTTCATGAAATGAGTAGTCTTGTGGAGGCAAAATGGACAGCAATCGATACGGGCGAACGTACAACATCAATAATTACTGTAACTAGGAGGTATCCAACGTAGAACGCATCCTTCAGCTACACGCGCCAGTAACGAAATTAGGCACCATTCAAAATGGCACACGTACGTGATACATGTGCTGCTCGAAAAATTGGGTGGTTAAATCACAGCTTCATATTATTATTTTTATCCCAAACGCTGAATGTGAATTTTACATCAATATGCTCGTGTACACATACACACATACACATGTTTGAAATAACTACACAAATTGGTGACTAATCCAATCATTTTAAAAGCTGCTATATACGTGCTTTTTAACAATATCGTGAAAAGAGTGGTTTTGTAGGAAATCAGCACTATGCGCAATGTATATCACTCCTATACCGGTAACTATTTGTTGCAGTGATGACTCCAGGTTCAGATATTAACTCAATGTGAGGAACAACCAAATGATTGAAAAGAAGAGACCATCGAGAAGATTAATACTCTTGTATTTACACTAGTAGTATATGTATATACACTACTTACAAATGACACTCAGAAGTGTTCAATTCAATTCAGTTCAATTCTGTTCCACTCCTTAAATCAACCAGTTTCCAAAATTAATTCTGTACTAACTCACAAAAACAAAAACTAACAAAATCACCCCCCCCAAAAAAAAAACACTGACTAAATCTATGTTACAAGGTCATTACGAATGCTGGCTTCTCCCTTGCATGTGGAGCCTAGGCGTCTCGAGGACGAAGACCGGGCATTCAGGGAATAACGCCACAGCACCAATGGGCCTTGGGGAGCCTCTCTTGAGGAGGAAAAGTTGCAGTCAGGTACTCTGGCCTCACACGGCCCTCTACCTGGTATTGGAATGGGAAGGAAAGCTCACACCCAATGGGTACGGCCATGGTCCTTCTCGAAGAGATCAATCAAAGGTGTCCAGGCTCATGCCGTGTTGCAATGCATCTGGTTAAATTTGAGTGTCGATTGTCTCTGATTTTTCCAATTCTCGACCGATTGCGCCGAAACTGAGCTTTACTGGCCGATCTTCACCTGCTGGACCAGGGGTCTCACGAAAATTGGTACTAGTCACCATATACAGAGCTCTGGAACTGCCATCCAGAGATCCATGTTGAGATCCTGACATATTTTTCTCGGGATAAGGAGAGGCAAGATGTCGACATCCTGAGCTAATTTATTACAGGATGACGATATCGTAAAAGTTGGATGATGACTCTGGAGATAATTTATCAAGAGATGACAACATCATGAAAGTTGAATGATGACATCCTCTGATAATTTATTATAGGATGACGACATCCTAAAACTTGGATGACGACATCATGAGATTATCGTTTTCTCAGTGTGTCGTCATCCAGAGACATCCAGCAAACGTCATGTCTACTTCACTACATGTAACAAGCGGTGAGACATCATGACGTTTTATCAATCCAATTAATATCACGTTTGGCAATAGGAGGACAGTTCTTCAATAAAAAAACAAAAGCACTTCAGGTCACCCGTGCGTTTTCAAGGTGGTTTGTCAATGCACCCATTGACAAATAATGTCATTATTCCATTTTTACGGTGAAACCATTTACGTTGCCAGGGGTGTTCCGCTATGTACAATATAAAACAGAAAACAAATCAACTATGATCAATTATGAAAATATGTACCAAAAAAAATAAATAAATAAATAAAAGAGGCTATGATGTCATTAGCCTTTCACCAAACCAGTGCACTTTCTTCAGATCAAGATACTGTTTATGCGGTGCATAAATCTACTATTTATATACACTAACGTTGTAGCAATCTATTTGCCGTGGCATAAGTCTGTCATGCACAGGGCAATTACAAATTGATAAGAACGTAAGCCCATGAACTGAAAAATTATGCCCCTATAAAAAGTACACTATCAAAATACAGCTGCGAATTCATCCTTCAGTACATTACAAAGATTACTCATTATGGTCAAAAACTTAACTGAATTGCTTCTCAAACATATCTGGCTGCACAGTCAAGCGTTGTAATTGCAACTTACCATTTGAAGACATAGTCACCATTCCGCAAGTACAAAATAAAGTGCACTCAAGTGGAAACATGGAGCACACTGAACTTGAACATCTTCCATCCTCCTCTGTTCAGGCAATCCTCACATACAGTCAGTACCAAGCAGCAACACTATAATTATTCGAAGTGTGGTCGTACAAGTGTCAGGTAAAGCTTCTCTTTCATGGATCTGGAACTTACGCCCTATGAAATTCAGAGCTCTTGGTGCTTTGGTGACTATGTGATGCGTTTGCGTCTCCCAACTAAAAGACCATGTTGAATGATTAAGTAAGTGACATCTTTGGTTTAAGAGGTTCACCGGAAATGGTGTAAGACATTGCACCAGGTTTTTTCTTTCGTGTTACACGCATGGTTTTGCACTTGCTTATGTTGAAACACATGCCCCAATACAGATGCCAGCCCATTTTTTCAAGGTAATTCAGATCATTCTGGAAAAGCTTTTTATCTGCAGCGGAGGTTATGCTCCTGTAGATCAAGCAGTCGTCTGCAAACAGCCTGATAACACTTCCAGCCCCTACTGCCTTACAAGTGTCATTTATAAATAGGAGGAATAGGTGAGACCCAAGTACTGTTCTTTGGGGGAATCCACTAATTACAGGATGCCACACTGACGATTAACCGTTAACCGTTACACGTTGAGGGCGATACCAAGGAATGCTGAAATCCAGCTTTTATTTTCCTCCAACTCCATAACCGCCAAGCTTATGCAAAATTTGTTTGATGTGACACGTCAAAGGCTTTAGCAAAGTCAAGACGGCCAAATCAGTGGTGACATTGCTATTATGATTTCTAGCCAAGTCACGTATAGTTAAAATAAGCTGGATGCTCTTGCAGAAAGCATGTTGATTTTCAACAAGAATTTGATGATGTTCAAGATGTTCCATGAGATGACTGTCAAAGATATAACAATATGCTCCTGTATCTCACAAGAAGCAGATTTCAGAGAGATAGGCCGATAGTTTGCTGGGTTTGATGATGAACCTTTTTTTAATAAAGGGGTAATGTTAGCCAATTTCCAGTCTGTTGGTAATGACCCGGTATCAAGTGATTGTTGGAATATAAATGCACGATGCTGCGATCACATGAGGTCAGTTTTCGTCTATAATACTTCCTTTCCTAGTTACATGTATTTGTTGCAACCTGACGGGGCATTTACTTCAGGAGATATAGTGGGCTTTGAAGAGTGCATCTTGAATGTCACGGGACTTGTCACATGATGACGTCATCATCCCCTCAGGTCAATGTTCCTCTAAGGCATTCTCGTTTCAAAATATCTGCAAGGTTTGAACCCAATCGGGCAGGTACTTCAAGAGATTCTGCTATAGTGCCTTTAAGAGTGCACCTTTAATATTACGCGACTTGTCACCTGATGACGTCATCATGATCAGGTCAATTTTTGTCTAAGCACTCCCACTTCAAGATATTTCCAAGGGTTGCCACTTTCCTTTGCTCGAACATACTGGGTCTCCTTTTTCCTTGTTAAGTGTAGAGGATGAGCCATGGTGGTCGTACTTTGCTCTATATCAGTTTTCTGTGGAACTAGATGGTTGATGATTTTTGCAAGTCTATCTTTAAAGTACCATCAGTTAGTCTCCATAGACTGGGAAGTTGGAGTTTTTTCCGTAAAGGACTTCTGCAAGTCCGCAGCTGCTTCCCTGAATTTTTCTGTATCGTCATTCTTCCATTTTAATATGTTCCTTGGTGGTTTGGTAAAGTGGGGTGTGCAACCACTATGTCAGCAACAATTTACAACACAGTGATCACTGGTTCGAGAGTGTGCTCGGACATTTTGCAGAGGCACAGGCCTGGACGTGAACAACAGATCCAAGATATTTTCTGTCCCAGAAGATCGATCTTTCCCAGTCGAAAACCTTCTGTTCCAAATGATAGTGGTTTGTTAAATCAACAATCTTTAATTATTAACTGCCAATTAGGTGTACAATGCCGTCAGGATGCCACATCATATCAAGTCTCCATCATACAGGCCCTGTAGTGCACTCTCATCGGAGGTTGATAAAAGGCTCCAATGATGACTTGTTCATTTTCTTTGATATCAGAGATAACTGGCACCAAAGTAATTCACATTTATCAACCTTGAAATCTTTCCTTTCGGTAGGAGGTATTGTATCCTTGACTGCGATGAACACACCACCGCCATCTCTCCGTACCCTATCCTGACGAGAAAACAGTGAATAGGGTGGGAAAATTTCTGAAGAGTGTATCGAGTCATTTAGCCAAGATTCAACTCCTATCAATACATCCCGATCTTCAGTATTAATAAACGATGCCAGGAGGTGTGCTTTACTACGGATACTCCAATTCATGACAGCTACCTTGATATATGTAGGCCTACGAGTATTTTTATTACCAGTAGTTCTGTCTCCCTTTCACAGGACTGGAAAATCTGGAGGGTTTACTGGTTACTTTTCCAGGTACCGGGTCTCTGCAATTTCCAACAACTTCTTCTATGCTTGAAGGATTAAGTGAATCCTGCTCGATAAGGGTCTCATCTGAGAAAAAGGAATCTTCAAAACGTAACACCTCACAAGGACACATCCAAGTGAAACTCTCCAGGTTTTGATAGGACGCGTAGCTAGCGTCTGAGATTCCTGAGCAACTATTGTGGATCCACAGTTGGCATCTATCACGTCACAACTTTGTCGAACGACCTAACAGCACAATCACAAATTCCACATGGCCAATCTTGGTTTTCTACCCTGCTTAACAGGCCCAGGATTGATTTCAATGTCCTCTGCAAACAAAGTCATGAGTACAATTGTACTCATCTTTGTGGGTGACACAGATAAAACGGCACTTATACGAATCAGTCCTTGACTAAATTCAGGTCGCTTGGCACAAAAGTAGTAAATAATGTAGACCGATTTTTTTCCACGCAACAGTCCCTTGTTGGCCTACACATGTCGAGACACTTTATTGTGTTTCGACATGTATAGGCCAACAAAGGACTGTTGAGTAGAAAAATAAGGATATCTCTTACCATATGAGTCTGCTGTCAAATGAGCTGTCCTGGCTGGTGTAAATGGAGTATAGTTTAAGGCCCCACAGAAAACAGAACCAACTCTGGTTCTACGGTTGCGACGTTGCCAGTTGTTCTCGTGCCCGAACATGGCGGTATCAAGGATGACAACACTGAGTTCCATACATGATTAAACTTCAAAAATCACAAACGAGTCCAATAAAAACTATCGAAATGTAAACAATAGGAGGTAAAAATGATTCAAACAGCAGTAACAGTAAACAAGTTTAGTGGATGAGCGAGTAAAAAGCTGATTTTGACAGATAAAACCCAATTAAAATCGAAACCACTCTTCCGAAGGGCAACCTCCTCGTAAGCTCAGCAACCACACATTCAACAAGGCAATTTCACGTCCAGTTGTAAGCTAGTCTGGTTCCCTGCCCAAAGATTCCCTAACAACTCTTGATAAAAAAATCTTAGGTCAGGCATCACCCACGGACATAAATAGATATGACGCGAGGGTCAAGGGTCACAAGTTTCGAATTCATCAGTGGCAACATCTAAAAAAAAATGCTTTTCCCATATCCAGTGGGCGATACAGCAAGTGTATCCCCACTGAGGGCACGCTTCAGGCACAAAGCCTGCATTGATCGAAGAAACTTATTTTCTGCATTTTGGCCAAGGCGACCTTCGATTTCAGTGTATAAAATCAAATATTGTAGGATCAACTGTTGCCATTAGGATACAGGAGTTTACGTTCAACAGCTAGCCTACCTACCCGGCTGGGAATAACCGAACATCAACGGTACCATCCGAGCGTGCCGAATATAAACGGGACGACTTCGAAACATTTCGGCTATTTCTGGAAAAAAATCCTCCAGTCTTGGTCACGTGGACACTGGGTGATACCGGACCCTGGATTCGTAGAGTAGTCAAAATCATCGGGTGTGGCATCCGGACTATTTGTAAGCCTGGCAGTCGCACGCCCAGTGAGAAGGCAGTCACAGATCCAACCATATCAGCCCGACAGTTAATGTTGCCAGAAATTCACTCGCAGGTACTTTTACACACAGAGGTGTGAAAAATCAGTATTTCAGTTGATTTCAGCGTCTGGGTTTTGATATTTACTCAGAATTTCAGCTCTGTACAAAATTATGGGACGTTCTAAAATTCCAGTATTTTGCAGCCCGTTTTCACCTTTGTTTTTGTATATGACCACTCACAACACTTGTGCACCAGATACGATGGACCCACTCAGGACTCCCATCATTTTCACGATTATATTTTTAAATATTGAGTAAGTGTTGGGGTGCATAAGCTACTTTTATTGAAGGTACCCATATATAAAATCTATATAGCTGTTTTCTTCCTCCAAACTGCTAAATTAAATACGTATTCAACTCTAGGACGACACTCATTTAATAACGGCAATGATTTTGACCACAATGAATAACCAGTAAAATCATGGCTACTGGATTCGTCGCTAGAAATGCGGTTAACTGAGTAGAGGCGCCTTATGAATGTCCTTTTTTGGGGTGCGTGGCGTTCACGATGCGTTCATGCCTTCCACTTTCACGGACACAAAAATCGACTCCATTCACATAGCACACGTGTGCGTTGCGTTCGGCCGTCATAATCGCCCGGGGGCGATTTTGACGGATATGCGACGTTCAGCGTAAGTGTTCACGCTCAAGGAGAAGCGCCTGAACACTGCAAAGCAAATACAGGAAGCAAATGAAGATGTGAGCTGATGATACTGCAATACCCTGGTTTATTCATTCTTAACCGAAACAGAGTCAATACTAATTACTTGCCTCTTTGTAGTCTGTTATTAAAAGAAATGAAAGATCAAATAGTTAAGGAAAGAAAATGATCAATTGGCCAAACTCTCCTTAGCTTTCCTACAATTTTACTTTGCTGCCAGAACATAAACACTGGCTACTCAGGTAATGTTCTCTTTACACCTCAGTTTGATCATGCAAAACCGTGGTTCTTAGGGCAAGAATAATAATAATATAAACAACTTAAACGATTTCTGAGCATTTCTTAATGCCAATGTATGAAGCCAACATTAGGATAACAGTAGAAAAAACTTTGATTCACCCAAGCTTGGGCCACAAGCAAAACCTTTTCCAACATCACAACAAAAAGGAATCCTTCAATGCTAAACGAGAACAACTTTTGTCAACTACGGCAATTTTAATACACAATCACAAAACATTCACTTTTTCCTGTCCTGAGTAGTTTATCTTTGGTTGTGTCCGGTGCCCTCTCTCAGCATCACCACATCTCAAAGACGTACCTAATACTTGCGATTCCTTCTTCCCCAATTCTAATGATACGAAAAATGCAGAAATGAAAAGAAGTTTATTCCCCAAGCTGATTACCAAAGAAACAAACATCTCCAAGAAATACTCAACTGACTTCGTTGATCCATTTCTTTTTTTGCAGTCATTTCCAAAATGTCTTCAAAGTTCACTGCATGCTTTACGGTAAACACAACGCCACCTTCACACAGTGCAGTTCTCCAGGTGCTAGGTTCTGTGAGAAGCCCAGAGCTCTCAATTACAGATCACAGCAAAAAAAAGACGTAAGGAACGGGCAAAAGAATTTTTCATGTGAAGAGAGGGAAGCGCAGTGTGTCCCTGACAAAAGTGGATCAAGCTAAAACTGTAAATGGGTCACTCTATAAATTTGGAGTCCCTGTTACATCTGGCAAATGATTTTTAACGTTTAAAAGTCATTGTTTAATTCCAAGATTGAATAAGTAATGCAAAGTACATGTACCTGCCAAACAAATAACAATAGTTTGAAACCAAAGTGATACATCCCTTGTCAAACATGTCAGATGGTATACATGTCAGAGGTACAGGTGTAACAGGGACGGCAATGTCACACTTAGCACCCTAAATTTATAGAATGACCCAAATATAAGAATAAAATGTTAATTGGTGTTATCTTGGCATGTTGATATTATTACAACCTATTTGTTATTGATGTGCCTTGAGTTTCTGCCACTTGTCAGAGAAAACGGGGCTCGTCTTTGGCGTGTTTCAATGCATAGTATTGTCAGTATCACCCTTGAAATCAAACTGTCGAGCTGATATCAGAAAAGAAAGCACCGGACTTAAAAGTAAACACAAGCTAGATTTTGATTATTGGGGCATATCTCCAGATTGCCAAAAACAAACATATAAAAGGTATGATCAAGCCAGGGGTGTCCTCTTTAAAAACCATGTAAGTTATGAAAACCATCAATTGACATTTTATGTAAACCAGTGCAGACACGTGGTGTTATTATTTATTTGGCATAACACACAAAAAAATACAAAACGAAAAATGCAATGCAAAACAATACAATACAATACTCAATACTTTACTGTGACCTAACGGCCTCCAACTCCGCGTACAACTGGATGCTGTACATGTATAGAACCCCTCAATTATTGATCACACAAAATGAGGCGGCTTATGCTCATTATTACAAGAACAAGTCCAGTCTAATGTGGTTGTGGAACGTATTCGCATATGGTTAGTTGAATCTAGCTATCAAGGGTGGTGAAGCTCATCTGCTGATCTTACAGGCTTAAAATGAGGCACACAGGGATGAGGCAGGAAGTCGGTGGAGCTTTGCATACCATGGCAAGGTCAAATATGTTTAGCATCCATTTGATGGGGGTGGACCTATTAAGTATTAACAATTTCGCTCTATCCATGGAAAGCGATCACTTGCAAAAGAAACAACAATGTTATTACACCAAATCATGAGAGTGGACCGAGCCTTGGAAAGTATTTATAACTCACCTCAATCAAAGGAGAGCAGTCAATCTCTAAATAGGTTTTGTGTTACTGCATCCATTTTTATGAGGGTGGACAGTGGACTGGAAAGTATTTTACAACTTGCCTCAATCCAAGCAGGGCGTTCATTTTCTAATGAGTTTAATACATTCTCTAATTTGTTTGATGCAACAGACCCTGCACTGAAAGTAGCCTATTTTTGCAACTTTGCCTCAATCCAGACACGACAATTGTTCTGGCAATGTTAATAGGCCCATCATATTTTTGTACCTTTTTAACGGGGCAGACAGTGCATGTAGGCTATGTGTACATTGTAGCTAAACTTTAATAATCCTGTCAAACTAGGAGATTTTTTGGGAGAGCCCACTGCTACTTGCAAAAGAATTTATTTCACTGCAGAGCATTTCAGAAGGATCCCTTAAACACCATACTAAAAGTCCTACAAAATCCTAGCATGGGAAAATAGTCCAATTTGCAGACTATGCAAATTAGCTTCTGCCATTAAAAGAAATACATGAACCTGTTTTCACTGTAACTTCACATCTAAGCAATCGGTTCAAATATATCAGGTTTTCACACCCATATTTTCATGGTAAGTGAAAAGGACAGGTGCACTTCTGAGATAACATACTGCATAAAAGTTGCATATCATGCAAATTAGACAACTTTCCAATTCACAGATTTTCGTAGAACTTTCAGTATGGCGTGCAGGGGGTCATTTTGACTTGACTATAAAATCATTTCTATCCGAAGAGAATGATTACAATACTTTTCTACCTGTTCTCATACTGTATCATAATCTTTAATTGAAGGGACCATGTACAGTAATAGAAATCTCTACTAAAATCCTTGGATTTACACATCTGTGTTTCCATAAACCTTATTTTAAATTTTCTATTTGTTTTGTTTTGTTTTGTTTTCAAGTATTTTGGGGCCTGAGGTTTTATGCTAGTATGAATTTATATATCCAAAACTGTGATGTAATCCAAGGCACAGTTGCATAAATTGCTGCAGGAAAAACTGCTAGATTTTCGTTGTTTTACTTGGCTTTCGAAACTACCATTTTCCACGAACAATTATAGTTGTGTTAGTACATGTACAGTATATGGCAATAAGCCATCAGTAACCTTTGGTTAGTCTTAAGAAATGTTTTAACCCTGCGACGCATTCTCAAGGTCAAACCTACATGGTTCAGGGGACGGCCTCTTTCGTTGAGTCCATTGCATTTTTCCGGTTTGCAGAGCCCTGAGTCCACCCGAGTCCGTCCTGAAGGTATATTAATGCTTTAGAGGTTGTCCCATAGCCTCTACAGATCTTACAAACCACCAAAACTTACCAAATGTACATCACAGTACCGCGGGGGGGGCGTTTTCCCAGGCTAACCGGATTTGAAGGGGGGGCTCCCTCGCCATGAGCCAGCCAAGCCATACCACCACCACACACCCCCCCCCAACAAAAATAACACTTCAAAGACAGCTGACAGAGGCCTCCGACAAGTTCCAGACAGCTGTCACTGATACGGAACATTCCACTGCCTGCCCCAGGCACCGTTTTGTAAACAGCCCATTAGGTTGTGCACAAGGGACCCATTAGCACACAGTCCTATGGGAATTGCCTGGAGGCTGGCTCAAGGCCCTCTGGGTTTTTTGCATTTATTCTCGCTAGGGGAGGCCCTGGCTGTAAGATGACTAAACCAGGCTTTTCAGCATGTTCAGGGGTAGGATATGATAAGTAGTCGTGGAATTTGGACTTAAAAAAAAGTAACATGTTAATTAGCCCCAATGGACTCGCCAGGAGAGGCCACTCCCTCTACCGAGAGTGAGCAAATATGCAGTTCAACATTTGAACATAACAACATGCAAACTGAACTTTACTCTAATATCACCCTCACTTGTCTGGAAAAGCTTGGCCAATTCTTATATGTTTCAAGAAAGTGCACTTAACAGCTCATATAACTCTAAAAAAGATTTCAAACAGGTTTCATGGCAGAAGATTTTTAAACACATTTTAAACACACACCATTTAATTGCATTGTTTCTTTAAACGACATTATTGATAAAGTCGTCTCTCCTCAGATATTCCTCTTGCCCTCAATGCTGAAGTTTTGAAATGTAAAACGATGCACGTAAATTTAAGATGGATTGGGCGTACACTTTTTGGTTAGTATCTTCAAAGTAAATTTTTTTTAATGATGAAATACTGAATTGGCTAGCATCATCAAAACATTCACTTTAAAATTAGACTTTAGGAAAATATTGTCTTTGGTTAGACACCGATTATTCAAATGCTAAAGAAGAGCCAAAAATTCAGTGGATTGATTTGATCATAGAAGTGAAAGGAGCTAGAACAAAATATTTGCAGCCACAGGCTTTAACAAAAACATGTAACAATTCTAAGTGCCATTGCTTTTTGGGCCTGGGATGTCGAGAATTTACTCGCATGAATATGAAAACGTGCACTAATTTTTCACACCAAATTCCACTTCAGGACACGACTAGACACAGTGTGTACGACAATAATGACTTTTCTGCAACATCATAACGAATAAACAAGCGAGGCGTGAAATGATCCTTCTGTGGTCACATCATCTGATTCATGTGGATTAACTCTGGGGCTTACTGGATGGAAAAGCTGCCGAACCCAAGAATCCCGGGTTCACGAAAGACATTAACCTGGGCTAGCAACGACTACCATCAAATTGTTACGACAGATATCTTGTTTCCCTAGACGTAAGCATATTAGTATATATAAGTATTTACAATTATTATTCTCCAAATAATTTTTTTTTCAAACACCAGTCCATTTCTCAGTGACACTGACCCTTTGCCCCTACTTCACTCTTCTCCCTTGGCATAGCCCCACAACCCAACACCCGATTTTGACATCCCTCACCTTTTTGGAGGCACCGGATCCCTTGTTCCTGCGATCACCACGCTCCCTGTTGTCAGTCCTCCGGTTGGGACAGTCGTAACTGAGATGTCCAAAGTTGTTGCAGACGTAGCACCGGTCACCTGAGCCTCGGTCATGTGACCGCCCCTCATACTGCTGGCTGTTGTGACGAAGCAGCACCGGGAATTTTAAAGAATGAAGAAAAAGAAATTTCAAAAGAACTACCTGTATGACACTAAAATTAAATTAAATTGATAACAGAAGTTTCCTGTAAAATATTCTTAGAACTACCTGGAGTCAGAAGAAGATACAGACATTTTTTTCAGCAACAACAAAAGCCCCAAAAGCTCTACAAAGAACTTTAGCTATATTCCTCAATCCTGACAGTTCCCAATCCATTAACTTAGAATTTCCAAATTTCATTTCATATTTGTTGAAACAAAGGGCTCTCACTCATAACGAGCATCAGAGGCCTCTAACAGTCTGTACTCCTCACTGACAGGCCGTCCGTTCTGCTCATCCCGGCTTCCCCAACGAGAGTTCCCTGCAGGTCTTTCTTCTGAAGAAAAGAAAGGTTATAATTTACAAAGAAAACCTCTGAGTTTACCAGAAATCCAGCTAAAAATGCAGGTCAATCACTTGACTATCACAAGTCAGTCACAAGCCAGGCACAATTCATAGCTTTAGTCATACTACAAGTCATACATGAAGTTATAAGAGAGGTCATGTCGTCAGAAGTCAGACCATGCCTGTATGTCATATCACAAGTCTGTCACAAATCACGTACACTTGTACATATATATCAAGTCATACTGCAGTCACATCACAACTCATAGCACAAATCAAATCACAAGTCTTTCTCAAAAAGTCACATTTCAAGTCAGCTATCACAAGTTGATCACATAAGTCAGAACTGAAATACTGAGAGAACATGAATGGGAACATTTCTGTCACAGTTCATCTGAACAGAACCCAACTAGACTTGATTGCGATTCCACTAGTTTGTTATGCATGAATAGGTCCTACCTACTCACAGACATCATGAAGTGAATTTCAGACATGGGCAGTATCGGGGGGGGGGGAATGTCCCCTTCCAATATATATTTGGTGGGGGATGGCCGAGGCAAAGCACCCCCGATAACTTTACCCTTATCATATACACACATGTAGATTCTCTCAGTCATTTTTCATTTATTCCGGGACCATGACACTTTCAACATGGAAACTCTGATTATAACTGAAATAAAAATATACCGGTAAGCGTTAGTGAATAGGTTAGTAAATAGGTGCACACCACCTAACATTTACATGTATAATTGGTAGTGTGCTTGTTCTCCCATTTCCCTAACCTTGAAAAGAAATTGCCACTGCCAATTTAAGAAATGCACACTTCCAAGAGTGCAAGTTTATGTAGATGTGTAATACAACTCAGGCCCAGCAACAGTGTTGCAAAAGCATGGGTGCCCCACTTCTTCCTTGGAAAATAACAACAACTGAATTTAATCGCGACGTCTGTTGTGCTTCCGAACAGTATCTGTGATTTGTCGTTGCTGGCCGCAACCTACCCGCACCGCTCGGCACTGCCTCAGAGTTGATGCTCAGAATGGCTGATGAAATATCGTATGACAGCTGATTGTCACCCATGCAGGAAAGGGTCACATACACGCTCTTGGGCTCTGTGGCGACCTGTGTGGTGATGGGAAACACACAATCTAAGGTCAGACTTGAACCTGAGAAAGGATCAGGCAATGCTTTGGAGATCTGCTTCTGTTTCATTTCTTGTTCAATATGACAACAAATGGGAAAACCTGGAAAAAATAAACTGCTTTCCATTTTTCAATTAAAAAACAATAAACATTCAAAAACAAGTTCTTTTCTGTCTCTTTTACATTTTACCACTACCATCGGTGCCCTACGAAATACCTTTGTCTCAAGTTCTGCTTATCACTCGGTACCTGTGGAAAACTAGGACTGGCCATCTCCCCCGGGTAGTTGATAACTTACCACTTTAGCGGTCAGCAGCCTGCCCTGGGTGTATCTCAGGAAGGCATTCTTGGCTTGCTCGGAGAAATGGGTCTGTTGCCTCGTGGCAATGCTCAACTCCATGGCCTGCGCAGAAACAAAACCTTGGTAATTACAGTGCTTTCATTCATGTGCAGTGCAGTCAGTAGTGCATTCCGAGGGTCAACATTTGAAGCTTCACAATAAAAATTTTCCATACACCGTTCGCTCAGGGGGCAACTTTATTATATATAACGGGTTTGCCCTTACCCAACGTATATTAATAAGCACTGTATGCTCAGTGCTTGTCCGAGAGCTTGCGAAAAAACCTCACAAGCTTACTCCGGTGGGACTCGAGCCCACGACCTCCTGCTTACTAGTGCAGATGTCTTAACCACTCGACCACCGAGCTTGCAAGGGTCGGCTGGCCGGTCCGAGTCAAATGAAGCAGCGGGTACTGTGAACTATTTTCAAGATGTATTTTTGCGTTGGGGAGACGTTAATTATATATAATGGGTTTGCCCTTACCCAAATATACGTTGGGGGCAACTTGTCAGCCAAAAGTAAAATTGAAAAGAGTTATGAATATTTCCTCTGCTACATCCTACCTTTCACCTCTGCTGCCCGAGTTCAGATCCTATCCCACGTCTATATACAGATTCAAGTTTCAGCCCCAACCAGTACCTGTTTCTGTCAGTTTTAGGCAGAATATTTTTCTAGGGTTTCTCTCCACCTCTATAAATGCAACTGCTTCCATCGTCTCCTCTACAGGTTTCTTCGGGCTTGTGAGCTACAGTACCTAGGGCACTTTTGAGGAATCCTTGGTGTCATTACCAGAAATACTTAATAATCATCATCTCAAATACTTCAACATTAACGTAGAAGACAATAACCTTTTAGAAGGTTCAACAGAGTTTTTAAAAAGGAGTAAAATAGGAGCTTGAGTGCAAAGAAATATTTTAATTTGGGATTTTAATTGAAATGAAAAAATTTTCAGAGCCTGCTTTGTGCAATTGTACATTTATGCACAGCTGATTAATTTTTAGCAACCTATCACAGGCACAGAGCCGTGAGCTTTTGTATTTCCGGGGGAATCAATAAACCATTTGCTATCATCTTTGACTCACCTGATATGGGAAGAGCTGATCGGCCACAGGGAGTGTCTTGATTCTGTGCTCCTCTACCACCTCAGCTTGGCCAAAATCAACATAACGAACCTGCACCTGTGTCCACAATCCAAACACCAAACTTTTTTAATCTAGTTGAGATACCTTCGAAACAACACAACCTCTCGTGCAATACTAGAATTGTAGTAGCACACAATATATTTAAAATTCAGGAGATGCTCTTTTATATTACTAGGGTTGTGTAGAATATTGCATGTTATCAAATATTTCAATATTTATCTTCAAACTGGAAAAGTCACATGTAAAAAAAATCAATGAAATAAGCAGAAGAAAAAAATTATTTGGTTACAAAATCACATTCTGAAAATGTAGTTCAAGGTGTCACTTGTACATTTCTCCACTGTCTGCTTCATTGCCACTTATAATCATCCTGTAAATGGGACTCGCACAGTTGGGTGAACGCATAAAGGAAAACAATAAAACAATACACTATATCTTTGAGCAAATGGCCCCTGCTTGGCTGCCTAATGAAGCCAGCCCATTACTTCAATTACCACTGAACGAATGGAGTAATACAGACAGTGACAACAATAACGAGGACGCCTGTGCATACCTTTTCATCAACGAAGCCCTCTACCCTCCCGCGACACCACTGCCCCGACTGGGTCTGTACGCACACTACTTTGATCTCCTTTAGTCGCTCTAATGTCAGGGGCTCTGATGGAAGGCTAAAAATGAAGAGAAATAATCATCAAGTAACAGATGAACTGGCCGAGTGGAGTGACAAATAAAAAAACTAGCTGTCTCTGTTGTGAACGAGTCCTTGGATTTTGCTTACAATTTGAGGTAAGTGGCTGACCCTGAATTTACATTGGGGCCCATATGCCTAAGAGTGTACATGGACCAAGAGTGCCATGGACCACTAACATGTCTCTCCTGTAGTACTCTCCTTCCATGCATGTCACAAGTGAACTATTTCTAATAGTGTAGGCACAATGCTGCCATGTCCTAACGCCAGTTTATTATCGGCTGCATGACTGAAAAAAGGACGCACATTTGTCCCACACACCATGCATAGTTGTGTTTGAAATGCCAGCGACTAGTTGCCAAAGGACACCCGTGGTATCGCTACAGAGTTCAAATGACTGAACTTTGACAGGGTCGCTGTCTTAACCGTGCATGAAGGGCCCACACCTACATGTAACAATTGAGTTTTGTGCACAGACATGTCATTGTGATGATTATGAACTGTCCCATGGGGCTTTGTAACAGCATCTTGCAATAAGCCTTTTGCGAGTTAAATTTGAATAGAATTTGGTACACTGAGTTCTTTAAATTCATGTGAATATAACAATTGGAATTCTCCACACTAAAGCCACTGTTGCTATACCTCGTGATTCGGGGCAGGCTTTTCCTTGGTTACATAAGAGACGCCTTGCAACAATACATTGTTCTCAATGGAAAAGAAGGGCACAAAGGAAGTACTCCATTCCAGAGATGGTGATCGCGAAGCAACAGCTTGGCCCTATGACGAGGTATATCAACAGTGTCTTTAGTCTGGGGAATTCGAATTGTTATGTTTATGTGCAATCAGATAACTCAGTGTACCAGATTTTATTCAAATTTAACTCACAAATGGCTTATTATCGGCATCTCGCATTCACCATCACACAACACACTGTAAACCTGCCTACAGACAGAACAACGTGTGGTGCAATGATAATGATACCGGTATCATTTCAGGAAAAAGTTTCGAGCAGGGAGTATAACATGTCATCATGAAAGTGAACCAGACTCTCACAATCTCTGTAATGTGTCTCAAAACTTACAAATAAAACTTTTCACAGGCACAAGGGTGCAAATAGGAAAATAGAAAACAAACACATGACTTGCATTGCTGAATGATGCAAACATGTTTGCTGAAGCCTAAACTTCTAATGAACAAATGTACCTGGATGAACTTGCTGTGACTTGACCCATAAGGCAAGCATGAAAATGACTGCAGCCACTAGACTGATGGTTATCACTGGTGCCAGTGTTATTTCCAGCCAGTCATTGGGATGGTGGGAAGTTTTTCAACTGAGCTTTAGCATGCACTAAGTGCATACAGGTATATGCAAACTTGAGAAATGGAACATGTACATTCCAACAGAAATCGGTCATCCATGGTCAGGCAGTTTGTTATCTAGCCAGCTGTTCAGATGAGGACGAGCAAAACACAAATTTGGACAGGCAACTTTTGCTCACTCAGAATTTACAAGCTTGATTTTTAAAATAAATCTTCAACACTTGCAAATAAGTTTTCACATTTCCTTCCCCACAAAATTGGTAGCAGTGGAAATACAGCCTTACATAGCACCCAAGGGTGTCAGTTTCATTACCCGTTCTTTGGGAGATTAGGCAATGAAACCGTTGGCCAGGACAGGTTGGCCTATATATTTCAATCCCACATGAAACCTTGGGGTCAGTCCAGGTGGTGCTAAATGAGCCTGAACCTGTGCATGCGTGTGAATTCCCACAAATGGACTGCCACTGCTGCACATGCTATCTCTAAAAGTTCCTGCAACGAGCGCAGATCTGTCAAAAATCTTGCAAGCCCCCCCAAGAGTCCCCATATCTGTCAGTCCGACTCACCTGATGTCGTGCATGAGTCTGCGTAGCTGTGACTCTTGAGCAGGGCCCCTCAGTCTGGATGCCCAGAAGCGTCCGTTGTCGGACAGTGGCGTGGCAACATAAACGCTGAAGCTGGAGCCCACAACTGCAGTCCCATCATATGAACACAGGTAGGGTTTTTTAATGAAATAATGTGTTTTTCCCACCGCGTGCATGTATTTTTGCCATGGTTATGCTCAGTTTTATTCTCACAATTTCTGAATGTCCACGGGGAAGCCACAATCTTTCCTCCTGCCACCAAACTGGCAAAACCTTAGAGGTTTAGACACAGTAACTACAGCAATGCAAACAAGAAATTCAAATACCTTTGCAAAGTTAGATTTCAGAGATCAGCTTCAAATGCTTTAATGGATCTTTAAAACCTGTACTGATGCACAAATCTGAGAAAGAGGAACACAGGCTTCAGATCGTTCATACTTTTGCGAAGTGAATGGGAAAGAGAAACAACTTGCCATGGTTGAAGCGAATTTGGCTTTTGCAGACAGTGTGAATACTCAAAAAAAACCATCAAAAGTTTGTACATGTATTCACATTCATATCTGTGTCTTGTGTGCACTAGTCTTGAGGTGGTGAAGTTGATATAGGAACCTCACAAAGGTACGGTAACGAGATTTGAAACTCCAGGATGGTTTGCCTCTGATTTGGAACACTAGGGATGGCACTTACCAATTTTGAATCCATCGCCTGTGAAGCTGCCTTGGTCTGGTTTAGGTGTTTCCACCATGTCAATACTGCCACTGTACAATACAACAGAAAGTGCTTGAACCCTTCCAAACTGCCTTTTTTTTCTCAGTTTGTCTACTGCTTGGGCATTACAGCACTCGACGACAAACCATACACGACAAGAAGTGCCAAGCTACAATGTGCACTTGCAAATTGTAATCACTCCATCTGAAATCTTTGCTGGTAGGCACGGCATCCTGTGAAATATTGGTGTGTTGTGAGGGGCTTCAAATACGAAGGATTCAGAATGAAATCAAACAACACTTACTGCCAGATTGTTCCCTGAATGAAGAGCATGCATTTTCATATTAATAGCTAAGTTGATTGATATTTTAGTAGCAGAATATATCAAATTTGACTATTTATGCTAATCACTAAAGGCCATAATGAATTTCAAATGAAACACATAAAACCAAAGTAAACAAGTTTATTGTTCAATATCCAATGAACTACATGTACATAAACTGTACTCTCGATTCAAGTTTAACAAGAACAAATATTCATACTTGTCCACATAATGGGAGTCCATGGATGGCACAACTGGGTTGAGTCCCAAAGCTTCTGGCGGATGCTGCACCCCACCAAAGATGCCTGGAGCCATAGAATAACCTGCGCTGCAATAGGGGTAGGAAGAGCCAAGCCAAGGGCTGCGGTCACCAAAGGCATTGTCTGGGCTGTGGGCCATGGCGCGGTCCCCCTGGCTGGCGAGCAGTTCGATCAGGTGATGGTCCGCCCCTTCTTCGTCATCTTCGTCGCCAGGCTCTAGCAAGTAGGCACCCACATCTGCTGCCCCTGGCTTCTTGGGGTGAGGCTTGTGTTGCTGCTCGTCAGGTTCATCTCTGGGAGGTTTCTGGTCTGTTGGGCTACTGGTCTGTCCTGACAGTGGCAGGCTGGCATTTGAAACTTCAGTCTTTGAGGTAGAATTTCTGGGATCTTCTTGCTGTCCTGGTGAACTACGAGATAGTCCATTGACAGAACCCTCTGCTGACACAGCCTGTTCTCGTTTGCTGTCTCGAATGCTGTCCACTGAAGTTAATTTGTCTGTTTGCAGGTCCGTGGAGGTGACTGTGCCAGGTTCTTCTCCTGCCCCCGCTGGCCCAGCCTGATCGTCACTACCCTCTCCTCTCTGGGAGACTATCATTTCCTTTTCACTCTCCTGACCCATTTTGTGATTCCTACCCGAATCCCCTTCTTGTCTTGCCTCTCCCATGCTGTCTGCATCTGCCTGCCTGGTTTCGCTTCCTCCATGGCCTTCATCTCTTCCCTTCTGGCCTGCCACACTATCTCCTCCAGCTGGTTCTGTTGATCTCTCTGCAGCATCTGTCACTCTGTCCATCACTTTGCCTTCCTTGCTCTCCTCGGTCTCATCTTCCTTCTCAGCATCCTTGCTTTCATCAACTGATTTGTCTTCTTGGGATTCTTTCTTTGCCTGCTTTTTGGGAAAAATTTACTGCATTCAAATGGGATGAGTTCACTTCAGAGTACAATGTTAACATCATCAAAAAGATGAATAATACCATGACACCTGGCAGGTATAAGATTTTCCATTTTTCTTTTTTTCTTCAGGGGTTAAAATCTTCTGTTTTCCCCACGCAGACCTTGATTTTAAGAAGTTCCACTTGAAAGTTGGATGTTGTATCAAAGCTTCCATATTCTGAAACATTTCATTCAACATATTAAAGGGAAACTAAAAAAGAACTGGAATAAGAATGGTATTCAAATGACCACCTCCAATCCTACTGCTGCCACTGCCAATCATCTAAATACTCACTAATCGTCAACAGTTCAAGCATCCTACACCCCATCAAAAGACATCAGATATTTAGCAATCAGATGATAGTAAGGCCGAAAAATGAATGGCAGGTACTGATTTGATGGCACCTGCTGTTTTCGAGGGACACAAGAATTTGTCAATCTGTTTTTCTCACCTCTTTGATGTCCTTTTCTTTTGCTTTCTCAGGGGTAGGTTCTTTCTTGGCTGCTGCCGATTTCCCACCAGGTGGCACATAGTCCTTCATGTATCGGATATCTCTGCACATTATGGTGTCCTGACAAAGAAAAGATGCGAAAAAAAAATACAGTGCTTCAAAAAGGGAGCAGCTTATCGCAACTAAAACTCCTTAAACACTTCACAAAGGCAAATACGCAGCCATGTAATAAAGAATCAACAACTTATAAAAATGCTGCAGGAAACTATTTTGAAAACTAAAGGTACATGTATTTTATTTTGAAGATTTCTAGCATTGTCTCTTTCAGACCTTGAAAGACATTTTAAAAGTGTTGTTACACAACCATACTCATAGCAACAGGAACAAACACACCAACACTTTGTAATTTCCATTTTGTTATCAGTATAGAATCGAACAACTGCTTACTTTTTTCGAAGTTGCTTCTTCAGCTGTGGAACCAAATTGAAGTTTGTAAATTAGTTTCCCAGACTGCGATAAAGAAATTCAATCCCAAAAGGGGGATAGCGAACATATGAAGTTGGGCCAATATATTTCCTATCACCATTGACGGCCGAACTTTGTTATCAACTTACTATTACCAATCTATGTCATGGTTAGGACCCAACAGCAATTGCTTCGTATGTAAAACTCCCAATAACAAGATATCCACAATTTTTTTTGGGGGGGGGGCGGGGGTTGCTGGTAGCAAAAAAGGAGAGTGGAGGCTCTTATAATGAAAGCAAAAGGCCAAAAATACTTCAGCTCCTGATGAGATTTTAAGGCTGGCAAGGTTTAGTGCTAAATCTCTACTTGTGTTGGGAACCATGTTTCACCAACCTTTGTACTTCAACAAAACTGGGACATCAAAGCTTGAAGAAAAAGTGTTCTGGCTTACAATGCTGTTGTGCCGAACAAATACTGTCATTATGAAACCACACACTGGCTTATGGAGAATTATGGTTGCTTGAGGGTACAGTCCCCTATGGCCATGTGACCACCTGATACTTCAGAAATCTCCTTTGTAAATGACAAACGCACTAGGCTGGAAGTTGTTCATAAACTACAACCCATAATTTTGTACATTGGCAGACACAATGCTTCTGTCACCTACTTGGACTTCCTCAGATTACAGTGATCCAACCCCTTAATATGTCCCAATGAAAGCAGACTATGTCCCTGGCATACCTTTCTGCACAACGGCTCCCTTGATGTCGACTTCTTTGTCCGGGTTTTTTAGTTCAACCAGGTACACATGGCTTTTGCCATCCAAAGCTGATGACACCTGATGATCCCAACAGAAGTCTACGTAAATCTCAATTTCAAAAGGCAACAGAACTTCAAAATATGGATACACACCTAACAATGGAAAGGCGTGTCCTGACACTTTGGTGATTGGTGAGTTGGGTAAAAAAACAAGTTGGTGCACTGCTTGTGTGCTTATGGCACGTAGCACAAATTTGAATTGGTAACTGAATGTGCACAAATTGAAGGACCTTCACATGCTCTCCTTCATCCGCCACAGACGTTTTTTATTACATCACAACATCCTGAGCAAACAAAGAAATGTATGCACAATAAAGTACACAAACTGATAACTAACCAAAGCGTCAAGTGACGCATGTTGCTTTTGACAGACTGTCAGCTAATATTTAGCTCATCCAGTTGCCTAACAGTAGTTCATGCTTTGTAAATCTGGTACCAAATAGTGCCTAAGTTTAACCCTAACTCTTCCAGACTAAATATGCAGCAGACGTAAAAGACTGGTACACTTTGTTGCACTGGGGAATCAACAACAGCTACATAAACTCCCCAAGTTGAGGCAATGGGAGCTGGTCCCATTGGACGTTGCCAATGTCAGGTCTTGTTGTAGGTGCCAACAACAGACTCCAAGGTTGCTTGGCCTCAGGGATAGCTGACCTGCTGGATTTTGTTTCACTATGCGAGCAAGCCACACTGACAAATGCGACCCACCATCCCAAAACCAGGCTGTAATGACATTTGACAACTTCTTTCCCAAACTTTCTTACACTTCAAAATGATCCAAAGTCTAATTTCTGTCTGCAGAAAGCTCTGGTTTTTCGGGCAATGACAGTTGTGGAACTTTCATGTACAAAAAACAGTGGAAGTTCCACTGGCATGGTTTCAAGCCAAAATACCGGTACCTTGGAGGGTTAGGGTTAAGCTACTTCCACCTTCTTTTACCTTCTTCAGTATGGCACAGTCAAGTAAGACATTTGCAGTGTGATCAGAGAACTCCCAGCGGGCTTGATGGGGTAGGTCCTCATCCAGATCCTCAAACAAACTACACTCAAGGGCCTGATGAGGACAATGGAAGAACAGGACAAAGCATGGGTCACTTCACAGTTAAATACAACAAAGGTTTGCCATAGTTAAGGTTCTGAAAAGCACCGGTTATCTCCATAAATTGGACAGTATGCTCTATCCATCGTCAGAAGAATGCAGTTATCAGATGGCCTACTCTGCTAAGGACCTGGCTGATTCTCAAGCATTGATCGCCAAGGTACTAGCATCACTGAGTTGTCATTGAAGCAGATAAAGATTGCTCAAATAGTTAGGGCATCGATGTCATAACCTTTCAACTTATTCCCAAATTTAGAGTTCTTGCCACAAAAGCACTTCAGAACTGTGCAGCAAGGAAATGGACAGGAACACATCAAAAATGAGATTCAGAGATGAAGGGAAATCTAACCCCCACCCCCCCAAAAAAAAACCAGATGAGTGATTGAATAACGGACAAAACAAAAATTCAGTGAATGGCTGTACACTTGTGTATCTCACACTGCGAAAGTGTTGGCAAAACCTGAATGATGAAATCTCTAAAAATCCACAAATCGTCATGTCAAAATCCTGAAATCTGAAAAAACCATGAACTCACACCCTCGATGAATACAAACGTAATCATTTAAAATGAACATGCAGTTCAGTCTTCTCATTGCCAAACTTTGTCATTAAGGTGCATCAGCGATGTTCTACTTGCATGTTAAGACGCATAACCTGTGACCAAACTTTGTGAAAAATGCTTTGTAATGATTGACATGTAATAATTACCTGGAATGGCAGGGTCTGAAACTCCTCTTTCAAAGGTTGCACTGCAGCCAACGGGACCTCATTGTCGTGAGCGTAGTCTAGCCATCTGATGCGAGCCAATCCCTTAACAAAACCAAAGGCCACGGTTGCCTGAGCAAATGCCCACACTTTTAACCACTAACCAACCAAGACAGTTATTAATATACAAAACAAAAACCACCAGCTTCACACTTTCAACAGGATTGAATATGTTGACGTAGGCAGTTATTGTGGGGTAATGAGGTATAATCAAGGTTGGGCATTTGGGTATGTCAGCTAGTGATGGGACTGACCTTGTCCTTTCTTAGCTGTTCAACTCTGCCACGGTACCACCGATGGTCCTCTTGGAACTGCCCACAACACAGTATCCCCTCCTCAATATCCACTTGAGACAGGGGATTCTGCACAATATCTTGCCTACAGAAGACAAGGATATATGGATGAAGACAGGAACAATGTTAATGTTACCTAAGGTTAACCCAAAATTGAGAAGAAGACTTAGATATATGTCTATTGAGGATTTCATGTTTCATGGAGTTATCAATTTACAACAAATTTAAATGTAGGCCAGATTTAATGAGTTAGAAGAATTTCATTCGGTTTCTGACTACATTTTTTCATAAACTCAAATTCTGGTGTGAGAAATGATTAATTCTGTAATAAAGGGGACATCTATGTCAATTTTTTCTCTTACTTCTGAGTTCTAAATATACAGGACGTAGTTTGAAGTTGCTCCGGCTGCGCCTACTTGTGGGGTTGGGAGATGCATGACAAAGGCAAGAGTATGGTTTAGTGTTCGAGAAAGGAAACGGTGTAGATGGTATAATGTGGGAAATTGTTCAGATCAAGAGAAGCAGCCTGGTTTCCTCTACAGGAGACAGCCTGTGGCAGGAGAATAAATAAATAATTGTGGGCCTGCTTCACTAGGTCTCCCTCACACAAAAGCATTGGCTGGTGATTTCCATGTACAATCTGTGCTCAGTTACATCACGACTGCACAGACACTGACCGTATTCTGAAGCTGAGGTTCTCATAGACGTTGGCTGCATCCTCGCTCAGGTTTCGGCTGACCCAAAAGTGACTTCTGGGGTCCAGGCGACTCTCCACGTACACTTGCAGAGTGTCACCTGAGAAATTTGGACGGAGGGAAAGAAAAGTGTATCACTGGTAGGAGTGTGCTACCACAAACTGACAAGCAAAAGCTGATGACAGAGATTTGGTCTGAATATGGAAATCTCTACTCAAGTATTTCATGCGTATCCGGTTCATAAGTGACTTCTTCACACATGCAGATGCCCCACTGCAGTTCACTGATGATTGCAAACTTCCACTGGATGAGCACTCAAGTTGTGCGTTACCATACCTTCCCGTTCCATGGTTCCACGTAACTCTATGTGCAGTGGGCAATGTATAAACTGAAGTGACGTCACACTTACGCACCGGATATGGTATAAAATGCAAGTCAGGCAAACAGCAAATTATCAAAAGCTCTGACAATTTAACTTGATCAATGCCAAATTGTGTTCATGGTACAGATGAATGATTTCAGTGAGATCACACAAACCATGGGAGATGTTTAAGACACCTGGAGTTCTTTTTTTATCACTTGCATCATATTTGTACACACATTCAAAACATTGCGTTTTATTGCCGCCACACGTCCCAATGTCTGCCACTGTCATGTGAGGGCTCTCAGGGGGTCCTTCCTTCATCCAACTGAAGGAGTGAATTCTCCTCATTTGATTACACTGCAGTTTTACCCTATCCATCCCCACATCTCTCAACATCCACCAGGTTTTTGAGGACTTTTTGTTGGATTGAGGGAAGAACAGGCCAGCTGTGTATGTACTTTACCTGTTTACGCAGTGCTTGATTCCTTCTTGGTTGTTTCAGTATTGGGTCTCAACCAACTAACCACCTAAACAATGGCATATCCAGTGGCGAGGAGGGGAGTAGGGGGACAAGTTAGTTCCCCCTTCTCCCCAATACAGGTTACCCCTTTTTCTACTGCCTTTTTTCAAGAACTGAAAAACAGCTGCAGTTTAGAAACATTCTTATCACCTGTCTTTGGGGGGTCGATGATTCTTTTACAGATGAAAAAAATAGACAGTCATTTTTTGAAAAGAAGACCTGGATAGGCCAATTGAACTGGTTGATATTCTGAATTGGTGAAAACGCTTGATCTGTACCTTCTTTGGGAGACTGTAATTCGGGCATCTTCTTTTCCTGGGCACCAAGCAATGAAGGGTCTTTCTCAACTTCTCCTCCCTCATCCTTGGATGGAGCATCGCTCGTGGGGATTTCACCAGTGTCCAGAGACCTTAGGCCGAGTTCCTTTATGTTCTGAAGGAGTCCAGTCACATCTAGCCTAGCAGGAGGCCCCAAGCTGGGAAATGAACTGCCGACGTCACCAATTTCAAATTCTTCCAGCTGTGGGAGAAATGACATCATCAAACGCAATCATGGTACATCATCAAACGCAATGTACATGTATTTAAGGAAAAGTAAACCTGAGGCACACCGCCTTTAGTTATTCTGTTTAAGATAAGAGCAGCTGTGACAGAACGAAAAACAAAACCTTAACAACAACCTCTATAAATTCTTCCATGACCTCCCAGTCTAATTCTTAACAAACCACTTAAGTTCAATAACTTTGCCAACAAAAAGTAATACAGCCTGTGAAACACTAGAATACCACCCAAGACTTCATCTATGCACATCAACCTACAATACAAGGTCGCCAAACAATATCTGCTTGTTTTCATTACTGTCAAAAATCTAGGCATAGTTTGCATCACATCAGAAAAAAATTATCAAACCTTCTTTTTCAACCCTTCATACTGCTGAGCGAACTCAAGTGAATTTCCTTGTAGAAGCTTTTGGGCATCTGTGCTCAACTGGAAGTGAAACAGAAGAGCAAGAAGGTCATTCATATTGACCTGGAACTTTCCGCAATCCTTCAATGTCATCCATGAGGAGGATATCAATGGCACATTCTTTAGGAGGAGGCTTCAGGAGGCTCCAGTGTCAATGCAATGTAATGGGAGCTCAGTTCTACCTTTTTAGCTATTCCGGACACCAGCCAGAACAGCTCTTGTTGTTCTTTAAAAAATCCCCATAAACCTTTTGGTGAAGTTTGGAGAATCAAGTATGGTAAAGGTAAGGATGCACAGGAAAAGATTGTTTATCCATGGACAGCTTAACAAACATGAGCAGAAAGAAAGCATCTAATTAGGCATGGTCATCTTGGTCTGGATTCTTGACCACTCATACAGATTACAGTGAGCCAATGCACTGTTCACCTCCCTAGTTTTATGTATGCTTTGGAGTGCGTTTTCTTGACCATGACAGGAAATTTGTATGTGAAGCCAAAGCAATAACCAAGGAACATGCTTAAAGTAGCCCAAAAAATGCAGGACTCGGAAACAGCTGCACCGTTCCAAGAAAAATAAAAAAAATACCTGTACAATGCAGCAGATAACACTGCTGATGAGGCATTTCATTATCACTGAATATTCGGCGAGTTTCAATACCATATTTCTTGGCAAGGTCAAGAACATGTATACACCCCTGTACATTGCGCAAACAGCCCCACTTCCATCATACACATTGGGCGAAGGCTGGGGAGGTGTGGACCCCACCCTCCCCCGGAGAAGGGAGTTCCTCTTGAGGACGAGGTGTTCATATTTTTAATTTTTTAAACGAAACAGCAGTACGTTATTTTATTAAGGTGCAAGTACAGGGGTTTTTGATACCCGATGACCAAAAAGTAAAATAGCAAATACATGTAAAATCGCAAATACATGTATCTGGGACAATCTGCTTTTCACGTGTGCACTTGCCTTCCTCATTAAAATGCCAGAAGTTGGAGTTCCGCTTTCTTGAAAAACACACTCCCCGTGGCCAAAACAGCCTATGCCCTTGAATACAGTCATGAGGTGCAAGTTTGTGTCCTTGACGCCAGTATAAGGTATTTAATATTACACTCAAATGACTTTCTCACGTCAGAAAATAAGGGGCTATTAAAACATGCCTGCTAGGTACTGATATATGTACATGACAAGAGCCTAGCAAGTCATTGGGTCATTTACATGCACATCCATAGTTTCACAGGCTAAGCACATCCATTCTGTCATTTCCAGGCCTCTCTCCAATCCAGCCTCATTTCCTTTATGCTTACACCACTGATAAAAGTAAGCCATACTGGTACACTCAAGGCTTTAAAGGCTTACAACGATCTGTCAAAGTGCAGTAAGACCATTAGGTACACGTACATGTGCATGTACCCATTCAAACATAGCTTTTGATTTCAACAATAATTCAATCACTATTAAGCTCTGTGATGGAGGGGTTAAGACATCTACACTAGTAAGCAGGAGGTCGTGGGTTCGAGTTGGATGGATTTTTTCGCAAGCTCTCCCACAATCACTGAACATACAATGTTTACAAATATATGTCGGGTAAGGGCAAAACCCCCAATTAAAATTAACATCTCCTCAACCCAAAGTACATGTACATCTTGAAACATCAAGCTCTGGTTACATTTATTTACTTTCATTGAAAAAATATCAAGAAAAGTTATACAAAACAAGACCAAAGTACAACACGAACTTACACTTTTGAATTCCGAGGTAGCTTGACTGATTCTCTTCTCGCATTCCGATAGAAGCGCGGCCTCCTTCTTGCTGGATTCTTTCAATGGAGTGGTCAGCTCCTTCTCCTTTTGTTTCAAGGCTTGCCATACGGCCTGCAAGGCCTGGCTGACCACTTGTTGATTGTACTGGGACCTACTCAAACGTCAAACCAAAGATATTTGATTCACACTCTGCCTATGTGCACATGTAGAACTTACCATTCTTCTTGATCTTCATCTAATAATACTCAGACTCTGCCGGTAAACATTCTTTTTGTGCTGTTAATTTGTATTGCAATTTCATTGCAATTTCTGCATAACCAGTGTAAAAAATAACTGAGTTCCTTGCCCTTGCCACTTCCTTTTTCTATGACCTTTCCTTAATTTTATTTTTTCAAGGTTTTCCTTTTTTTAAATTACGGTATTTGCATTGTCTTTTCATTTTTTTTTTTACATTTTTAACAATATGTTATATGCATGGTGTACATGTATGTGTACGGTGCATTTACATGGCTATCAATTCAATTTATGAACCATTTGGATGAGATTACATGTACAACTCCTTCACTTTTGACACAAAAGTATTTAGAGCAAGAATAAAAATAATCTTCAATCTAGGAAATAGCCACACAAAACAAGAACTGCGACGTACCAGTCAAGTTATTAAAAAAAAGCTGCCTCCTCTATTAAAAAAAACCATACTGACAAAAAAGTTTGTCTCCTATTCAGCTTTAGACAGACGTTATGTAACACATAAATTATCAGAAGTGGCATTATGCTGTAGGAATATTTGTATCAGACTGGGGTGTGAGCATGGTGAGTGGCCACTTAAAATTACAGCTGAAAACAGCTTGCAACAAGCTGAAATGTAATAAGTTCCATACTTTTCCACAGACCAGGTGAAAAAAAAGTTGAAATTCATGGTTGATATCTAAACAAAAAAAGTGAAATCAGCTAAAATGCTGAATTTTCACAACCCTGATCAGACCTCACAACTGCAAAGGTCATAGATGCTCATCATTCTTGGCTGGTCTACAATTTACAGCAAGGTGGTGTTTCTATCAGGTCCAATGCAAGCAGCAGAGAATTTTGCTCTGACTCATAACACATTCGGAAACACTTCAACATTTCATTGAAGTCTACAGCCTGACCAGACACCCAAATCATCACAGATGAGCCACTTCCTGGTGCCGCATAAGGTAGACTTGAAGAGGGTAAAGGCCTCTTAATATGTGAAAATGTTCTTGGTAAAAATGCCAACAAATATGTAAAATTCTCATGCTGCCAATTTACGAAACTTTAACACGTTTCAACTCAAGCAAATTTTGCTACATGTTCTGTCAACTTTTGTGATGAACACAGTCACTTTGCCTTTTCGTTCGCCAGAAGTACTGGCATTAACCAGCCTTGAGCCAAAGTGTTTAGGCAAGGATCTTGTGAACTGTTATCTCACAAAAAATTTCCTTCAAGGAAATTGCAGCTTTGAAATAGCAGGTATTAACAATGACACCAATCACAATACCAGATCAAAATACCATCTCTATTAAAAACAAAAGAAGCATGAGAAATATCAAAATGTAACACACACATTTCCAAGAATTCTTAATTTAGTCCCAGTTATGCACTCTGAATCCTGGAGCCACGGTTACAACTGTGTTGAAGATTTATACACACAAAAGAGTAATATTGTCTGATCGCATAATATATTGGAGACTGCAACTTATAAACACTTAATCACAAACTCATAGGATAATGGATTCTTCTTATTATTTTTTCACTTTGCACATATTACATTTCTTACCTCTGCTCAATATCTTGCCTTGCATAATACACCTCATTCAGTTTCAACTGCAGGTGTTTCCCACAGCTGGTGCATAGAAACAAATGTAACAAACCAATGAAAGTACACCTGAACTGTGAAATACATGGAAACGTACATGTACAGTAAATGTAGCGGCATACATGTACATACTCTAAGACCATTAGTCAATATATCACATGAACCATCCAGCCATACTGAGCCTACTGTACATACATGTACCAGTATGTATACATGTAGTTTGTGCATGTACTGTACACTGTAGTCACAACGAAAGCTGACACTATACAAAATGTCAAGACGCAGACATTCGCTGAAGTAGACTTGAAATCAAGTCGTTACTCCGTTGTGTTTGTGGTCCAGAACAATATGAGCCAGCATGCTGCATTGTTTTACAACATTGGTGCTGAGCATGTTCACTGTTGCCCACGATCCAGCGTACCAGGCTGATATGGCCGAGCCCACATACAACACGTAGTTGTGACCTGTTCAGTACCGGTTTTCAGTGTCCGTCTAACGACTTGACCAACCTGACTCCAGATGGATATTCATGTATGCAACAACTGCACTGCATATTCATACCGGTACTTTGCCATGAAGAGCGCCAAGAGACTCAGTTTTTTCATATCTTGCATTAAGATCCCTTTTAATACAACACTTAAAGACAAAGTATACATAAATATTCAAGAACTAATCTATTGATTATATTTTACGGTAAGAAAACGATGCTTTCATGGTAAATCTTCTTTTTAGAATTATGTAAACACCCTCTTCAATGAACAAGACTTTGGTTGCTGTTGGTAAACATTCAACCGACCAATCAAACTGCCCCTAAAATACAGATTCATATAATCGGGATTCCTAGCCAATCAGAGTGCTCCGTCCAATTTTGGTAGCAAGCCCCATGTTATGCGCATAAAAGGGCTTGCAGATTGTTAAAGTCGGTAATTGGGCACCACCGAATACACATATTGGGGAACGAGGTTGCACTGACCGTCCCGCATGTTAGTAAACTGCATGCCGAACCGAACTGTGTACGCATCGCAAGGAAGGTGGACAACACCTGGCCAATTACCGACTTGATTTCAAGTCTATTGCAGAAGAGACAATTGTGATGTCATTTAACAACAAATAAATTACAAAAGGGGCATCCAAAATTCTGAAAACATGTGTAACACAGTACAGTCCCCAGATAACAGAGGCATTTAAGCACACGAGGAGAATTCTGAAATAGTTTGTACAGTACAAAATATGCATGTTTAGTATGTTTCAGCACGTACATGTAATAGGTTTATCTACATGTAGCAAACCTGTCAAAACTACATGTATGTATACAATGTATAAAGGCAGTTTACCTTTTAAACTTCTCAAGTTGGTCCTCAAACAGCTTCTTCTGTTGCTGTAAGAAAAAAGGGCAATTCAAAGAGTGTGTCATTTTATTATCGTCTTTTTTCATTTCCGCAGTTGACGTATTAACTCGTCGTGCTTGGTTGGGTCAAAGAGCAATTGCAGGATTGAAGAATTTGTGGGTAAAAAAAGACAGCCCCCAGCTGCTTTTTCGGGTCAGAAAATCCGACGTTAACTGGTTAAATTCAATCAAACTTAATCCTGACTGTAATTCAAGACCAACTCCATGTAGGCCTACATGTTAGAATCATAAACTGTGACACATACTTTGACTTCCACAGAGACCACCTGGTGTTCACTAAGAAATCCCACATGGATTAATACATTACAAGCATCACACAGCGGTAGCAATTCACCTGAATAACAAAAGAAATATGTGTCTTGTCAAAGATACTACACATATGTACATCTATAGTACATAACCGTTATACAGACCAACGTGTACATGTACATGTAGGATGCAAGGAAGAATGGACATCAACATGATGATATATCCGTGCTAAATTTGACTTTTTGTGTCATGTTATTGTTTTCAGATGGCTAATGGGTCAGCACGGACATCTGGGACTCTCGCAAATTGGCAGATAGTAACTAATGAAAACAGCGACCATGGCGGCAATGCGTGCATCAGCCAGTCAGATGATCGGATGACACAATCATTTCTTTGATCAATACGTAAGTGTGCCTTTGTTGCAGTTGTTTTCATTGGTTGCTACCCGCCATTTTGCGAAAATCCCAGATGTCCGCGCCGCTCCATACACGTAATACACTTCAGGTACAAATTCGTGGCATCTGTGTGTGGAGTTCTTGCCAGGGTGCACTTCGACTCAGGGTGTATGTACAATATACTCAGTGGAGAGCATCCTCCAATTTAAGCATGCCCACAAACACGCAGGGATCGTGATAATACAGCCCCTCTGAATAGTTTGCTAGATATATGGTACTTTACAAGTGCTTGTTATTATAAGTATTATTACATACATTTGTACACGTAACCCCTACATGCCACATCAATGCCCAACTATGGCTCCTCAAATTGTAGCTCAATTGCAGAATACCCCGCCACATCGCATAATCAACCTCATAGCCAAGTATAGGTCAAAGTGTCACACTCTTCTCAAGGGATTTTCACCTTGTACCCACGTAACCAGTAATTCAAGGGGTCGTTTTTAGAGTGGCGGGGTATTCTGCAATTACTCCCAATTTGAAACTTAACAAGCTGGGCATGCACGCCCTAACCTGGTAACTTGTGCAAGTTGTGGACACAAGTCGAAGTCCTGGACAGATGTGGGGCAGCTGGAAGAGTTGTAGGCCTATACTGTACAGTACATGTTCTAACTTCTATGGTGATGGTTGTGAGAACCACTTACATAAATTCCACCACAGAACTGTGGGGTTTGTTGTCTGCCGTATTCGTGGTAGCATGGCAGATGACAAACCCCCAAGACTTCTTGGGGTATTATACAAACAACATTACACTGTGGTACATTCATTGAGCTCCAGCTCCACAGTATGCATTGCACATGATGTATGCATGGCAAATGACATGCATACCATAGGCATGCCGTACATGATCTAGTTAGTAGTCAGTTCATTGCAGGGCTCTACATGAGCCTACTCCTTTGATTATCCTATGTTATTCAAAATCTGGGGAAAATCAACTCAGGATGGAGTATACAATAAATATGCGAGAGTGCGGCAAGATTGCGCTACATCAGTACATGTACATTGACAATGGCACTGTGCAGTAGAGCTTCAAGCAGTAGGCCTACAGGAGAGCACATGTGGTACTACATGTATTATGCCATCATGTTTACTTCATGTATGTAGGGCCTATGTAGAAACTAGTACTACTTCTACAATAACATATAACGTTGGGGCCTACATGTACATGTACTTTGTATATGCGATACACAATAGGCCTATGCGTTGTTTACATGATGTAGGCCTACTTTCCAGGTGAGATTGAATTTGGACATGAGCACCTACCACGACGCTTACTGCCCACACAGTCTGCACACTCAAGCACAGCCTCTTTCTCGTTGCATCTGCCACAAACTACAGACATTTTCCGGTTGAAATTATTTCAACGGCGTCTTTAATGCCTCTGTGCTCTCAAGAATTGCTTACTACTATATATACAACTAACGTCTGGCCTGACGTTCAGACGTTGTAATACACGGTACACACACTTTCATTGCATTTTGCGCAAATGCATAATGCACGTTGCTCGTGTACACCAATTTCAATAAACCTACCGTATGTCCGGACAATATGGATTACATAATACAGCCCCGAAATAAGTACAAAACGAAATACCACTTCACAATCAAAGACGTTGACAACCCCAGCGCGTAGAGCTTATTTAGGCCAATCCCGGGATCCCCATCCTAATAACATGGAAACGGTTGTACGGTGCATGTTTTCAAATTGAATTACTGTACATTGCCACACAAGTAATCGATTATGTGCCACTGAGAAAGAATGATAATAATATGGCAGCTTGATTCACTTTTTTGTTCCTGCTAATCGCCTAACCCCCCAACCAGTTTTCGTAGGCCTACAGGAAGCCAAAGTTTGCAGAAACATCGTCCTATAGCTTCATAAATAAATTTTAGTAGGGTATTTTATTTATATTGAAATTTAGTAGTGCATGTACATGTGATATAGGCTTCCATGAAGCTATCCCGGATCGAGGACCACTGGAACGCTCCGGGATTTCTGGCCTGGGAAAGCATTGTTGTTGCAGGCAGCATAAGCTCCAATCTGTCTGCACAACACACTAGGGAGGCACTGACTAGCTACAACTTACACGTGGCCATCAACACCTAGCTTCGAATAGATGCTGCTCTTGCAATCATACACATGCTGAAGAGGGTCCAACAAGCTACATGTATAAGCCAGATCAATGCAAGGCGGAAGGGCGGCAGAGAGTCGGACTCCTCGGCTACGTTGGACTTGCGCAAGTTCATAATACATGTGTATTATTGTGTCATTATCATTAATAACTTGTTAATTTAACCTATTTAATTTCATATTTAATTGCTTACATTATCTTTATTCATTTCCAGTAATTCCTTTTCTTTTATATTTAAACATTTTTAAGTTTTAATTTTTGGCTTCAAATACTTCTACATGTACATTTTAGTATTTTATTTATATTTATTTATTCTATACACAACTTGATGAGGGGTGGCAGGTCTTTGGCCTCGGTGATTGTTATCGCTATTGCCTCTCCTATGCCCGTCTTGTATGTGACAAAAAGAATTGGCATGAATAAATAATAATAGGCCTAATAATAATAACACGTGCATCCTTGGGGCTCAAAGTGTATAGCAATTATTTGGCGACTGCATCACTGCAGGACCTCTTCCTAATCACTAGTTCTCCATACAGAAGATCCCGGTTTCTGTCATCATCCATTCGACAGTGGATTGTAGCACTTCACTGTTGGGGACTAGCTACATGTACATTGTATGTCTTTCCATGAGATGTTTGCGACGGAGGGAACACATGCAGAAGGTAGGCATCTACATGTTTCTCTAGGCCTCGCTCAATGTCAATATCTCACTTGCGTACTAAGAGGAGTGTGCCCACCACACATGCGTTGTTGATTTTGCACCTTGGAGCACACAGTGTGTCTTTGTGGTTTAACCACGCCCTTTAGGTCAGCCAGATCAAAGTGTGGGTGTCTCCCCAATGGGTTTGGAGTTCAGCACCGATTTAGGGAGAGGGAATTGGCTTGGCTGGTGGTTAGTGGAGCGCATGGTGGTGGATGCTGGATCCTGCTAGCTGGAGCATGAAGTGGCTGCATGGCTTCGGTCACTTGTTACTGGGGTGGGTTGATGCTGGCTGCTGATGGAAGCGACGGGTGGGTTTGGGATGGCGGCTTCGGGTATAGGTGACACTAACACCGGGAAGCTGTGTGTGGACTTCGGGTATAGAGAATCCTAACGTCGGGGGGGGGGGTTGGCTTGTAGGGGTGGTCACCAGATGTCATCTGGAATCTGATGTATTGTTAGACGATGTTGTGTTGGAAGATCTCGATGGTTTCTCATATACCTCTGGGGAGCCAGTTCTTGATGGGGGCGATAATCTGCGTCGAGTCCCAGTGGATGTGGTGCTTGGAGGTGTGTGCGTGCACCCTGAGCGGCTGCTGGGGTGTTCTTTGTCATTGTGGGCTTGCAACTTTTTGGGAGCAGAGTGAAAGACCCGGATGCTTGCTGACCGTAGAATGATGCGTTGGACCTGGTAAGAGCACGTAAGGGACGGTGACGGCTCCCCAGTGTTCTAAAACTGACAGACAAACGTCGTGTTTCAACTTTCTGAACGTCGTGGTTAAACATTGTCAAACAAGGTCAAACATTAAAGTTTGGAGCTACGTCTAATGCAGATCACCTCACCCTGCTGTATTTTAAAACACTGTGTTTCAAATACATGTAGATAAGATTTTCATATTGATGTGTTGAAGGAAAACCAAAAATGGATATCGAATGCAGTCAGGACAGAGTAGTCTGGCGTACTGTTCCTGTTCATAATAGCTATCAAGTTTATCTGTGGTAATAGAAAAAATAACTTCAGCATAATTAAGGTGTTCTCAACGCGTTCGTCTTCAAGTGTATTTTGCGATCTGGGCCTTACTTGGGTTTCGTTCCTCTTGTATGACCAGTGGTCAGTTAGTGTCTATATACTCTGTAGTCCGATGAGTGTCATCCGTTGCTCAATGTGGTGGAGTCCATGACTCGAAAATCACATGTCTGTAGACAAGTAACTACGGGGTTCCAAGAGAACCCGCAGTCCAAAGGGCGTGAAAACAAGGCAACTAATACATGTGAGCACAATAAGATGCCGTCAAAATCCTTCACCTAACAAGCTCCCGCAAAGCACAAAATGGGTGCTATGTCACTTTATGTGCACATACATGGATAATGACCAAACTATCGCTACAGCTACAAAAGGAGAGGGAAGTCAATACTCAGAAGGTCCCGTTTTCATCTATGTGAGTGAATTTCTTTAAGATAATTTTTAATGACGGAAGTAACAACTCTCTTCAGTGAATTTATGATTCCCCATGCCTTTTTATTGAAAAGCAGAGGTGAATTTGTTGAGAAAAGTAGCACACAATGTAAACGCCTAAATACACGTAGAATAAATTAATGGTCATAAATATTTTTTATGACAAACCCAAGATAAAATGAGCAGTAACTTTGATGAGTAAAACAACTGCTACCATTCAAACCAGTATACTGCAGCAGGAACTGAGGCCATCGTCACTGTAAAATAAAAAGTCCCACGAACAAAAAACAGAAATGTCCCGACTGTTTTTATTTCAAACTGCAAACCTGAACATAATGAGTTTCTTTCCACATTTCGGAAAGTAAGATTCAAAATGTGCTGTTTGTTAAAGCGACTGCCGTTATGAAAAAAATTTCTTCAGTGTCTATACTTCTTGTATTATCATGCACTGACAGTAAACATGACGTGCCACTTTTACAAGAACCGCCTGAACCCCCAACCCTGAAAATACTTTTGAAAATTTTTAACCAAAAGTGGAAAATCTTTTTTTCTTCAAATTACATCAAATGTCTTGACATTCTTTACTGAACGTATGAAACTGCAAAACCCCTTGTGAGCTTGTAAAATTGAACAGTTTTCACACTTTTAACATGTTTTCAACTTCTCACACTTTTCTTAGTCTTCAGAAAGTGAGAAAGCAACATATAAATTTTATAAACATTGTGCAAAACAATGACACATGTACATCCACTGGTCACATGTTTGATCAACTTGCTTCATCTACCAATAACTGCAAATGGGTAACAGTTTGAAAAGAAGTATTTATAAAGACCTGAGTTGTGAAAAGAAATATGAATGAAAGACAACCACTTTTTCCTGATTATATACGCATGTAAAGTTAGACAGCCCACATAGTGCTCTAATGATTTTTTGAAATGCAATTGAAAAATCTTTGTTTTGAATAGTTTTTAGCACAGTGCTGGCCTCTTTCAGTCGAGTTTTTCATCTCTTTCACAATCACCAGCTTTTCACAGCTTTCAACAAACAGTAATATTTGCTCACCTGCTGGAACTTTTTTCATAAGTAGACACCAAGTCAATGCACTTTAACAATGCCCACAAATGCAAATAATGCAAACAAACACTGTGTGTCTGGAGGCCATGTTTAGCTTTCAGAAATGCAAACCTTCATATACAAATGTGCGAGTAGATGCATCACTTTTCAACCAGAAAAAGAAAGAAAAGCCAACACTGTTATATTACAGCCATCCCGTGAATTACAAGCCACACTGAACAAACAGATAGATGGCAGCTATCTTGGGAAATCCTCATCCTCGTTTTCTTGTTAGAGCCCAGTAGAACTGGTCTCTGACAATTAGGACTAGAATACTGCTGAAACCGACGGTGCTTCCAGCTTCCAAGCCACTGATATCAAAGTTACAAACACAATCCTTTGTCATTTCTTGTTAGTTTTCAAGGACAGTGTTTTAGGAATACATATACATGGCAGAAAAAAATAATTACATGTAACTAAGAACAGTGAAACAGTTGCTTAGAGTGCAACTAAAGATTGCTCGATAAAGAAAATACGACATGCACACATATGATTCCCATCACAGAATTGGAACTGAAAGCATATTCCATTGTAAAATACAATGTACATGTACTGTCTCCCTTCCCTAGACAATCAAGTGCTTTGAAAACCAAATTTACTGCCAAATATTGAACTTGGAACAAAGTTGAAGAACGTGGACATTGCAATGCATTGTAACCACCCAAAGGCGACATTACAATTTAGATTTAAGGTTTCATATTATCAGAGTTTTGTAAAACTAAATTCTAAAAGAAAGTACTTGTAGAATAATCCAAGTTCCTTTTCAGAAGTTGTGCCCTAAAACTTCATGTTTCCATAGCTGTGCTAGTCTGAAGTTGTTAATTCATTTGGTAATGTTAATTTGGTAATGTCCAATGCCATGCTCTTCGGCCTTGGTCTTTTGTTGCTGTTAACCCTTTTACTTATGACAGGTCTTGAGAAGATACTTGTGGCTCAACTTGTGAAAGATATAACTACAATGTACAACCTAATTCCCCTACTGAAGCCAACACTGCACAGTGAATTAAAAGGGGGAAAACAGACCATTCCTTGTAGTCCTACACGTATGTACACGTATGTGGGGCACATAGAAGCTTGGCTGGAGATGGAGCCCATCAAAATAACCCAGATCCAGCTGGGCCCCATTTCAAAGACCTGGAAATGTAACTCTGCAAATTTTACATGCTGAGCAGAAATCAGCAGGTTACCTACATGTATCTCATGAGGTACACAATGTACAGCATTTTTGGTTGGTACCCTTGTATTCTGTGATCAGCCCATTTCTGTGAGGGGCATCTCCGTGAATTTTGATGCATGAAGTTCGAATCTAGGGATAAAAACCATTTTTAGCATCTGCAATCAAATAATCCCCCTATCATATCCCATGGAATGATTGTTTTAAACTTAACAGTTTAACTTTAATCTGTACTGTGGTTGAACGCAAACACTTCTTACATTCCACGCATAAAAAAATATGGTAGAAAATATCCTCTTGGAACCGATAAAATAAATAGAAATTAGAATTAAAAAAACAAGTTTTTACAATGCTGAACAGAACAGGTTCACAATAGCACAGTACTATCTGCACTAGCATTGTGCAAGAGTTAATGATTGTGAAGCCTTACGATGAACTTGTCCTTAAAGGGGGATGCGTAGTTCACGCCGATGGAACTGAAGACTTGAGCCGGAATGCCCACGTCGCACAGGTACAGCATGCCGACGTTGGTGTTTTCGTACGAAAGAGGGAGAGCGGTGATAACTGACCACTTGCTCCGCACACTGTGGCTGGGGCTTGGGTCAATGGACAGAACTGACGCCTTGTTGGCCGTGACCCAGGTGACGATGCTCTTGAGCCAGGGCTGCTTGGGCAGGGCAGTATCCATCGGGCTGTCCACTGCACTGACAATCAGATCAGGGGGCTCTTCGGGTAAGTCTGTAATGAGTAGAAAAAAGGGAAATACAAACCAGATGTTACATCCTTACTTTGGAAGGTTGGATAAGGCTGTGGGACATGCCCTTTGGATGACCTTTTCACAAGGGTCAACTTACAGATGCATCAGCATCATAATACTGACACCCGTACTGCATTATGTAAAGTACATAGTGTTTGTTGGTATGGCTGCACTTGTTTGAGGAACTTTTCCATAGTTTTTGGTGATATTGTGCATACTTGTGACACACTGTACTAAAATTTGAGATTACCCTGGTGATGGCAAGAAGGCTGCTGTTCTTCTAGCTATTTGACGTAGGGAAAAAACACTGGTCGTGAACTAGGTGTGTCGGCTTACATGACTTGAACATTAACCACTTCGTGCCGGGGCATTTTTCAATGTTGATGACGCTGGGCCGGCATGACTATCATTTTTTCCATTTTCAAAATCCTTCAAAAATTCATCATTTCATTTAACGGTCGTTTATAGCCACACGCAATAATCTTCAGGCAC